GCAAAAGGAAATATAATCACTTAATTCATTCATTTAAATAGAAATTATAGTCAAATAAGAATTTTAATTTCTGTTTGTAGCAAAAGGAAAATAATCACTTATTTCATTCGTTTAAATAGAAATAATAGTCAAATAAGAATCTTAATTTCTGTTTGTAGCAAAAGGAAATATAATCACTTAATTCATTAATTTAAATAGAAATAATAGTCAAATAAGAATCTTATTTCTGTTTTTAGCAAAAGGAAATATAATCACTTATTTCATTCATTTTAATAGAAATAATAGTCAAATAAGAATCTTAATTCTGTTTGTAGCAAAAGGAAATATAATCACTTATTTCATTCATTTAAATAGAAGTAATAGTCAAATAAGAATCTTATTTCTGTTTTTAGCAAAAGGAAATATAATCACTTATTTTATTCATTTTAATAGAAGTAATAGTCAAATAAGAATCTTAATTCTGTTTGTAGCAAAAGGAAATATAATCACTTATTTCATTCATTTAAATAGAAGTAATAGTCAAATAAGAATCTTATTTCTGTTTTTAGCAAAAGGAAATATAATCACTTATTTCATTCATTTAAATAGAAGTAATAGTCAAATAAGAATCTTAATTCTGTTTGTAGCAAAAGGAAATACAACCATTTATTTTTATCGCGGATTAACTTTATGATTTAATAGAAAATTCAAAATCATTTGTGTTTATGAAAATATTTTACATTGGTTTATAAAGGTAATACCAAGTAAATTTTTCCTCTTTCGCTAAATAACGCTTGCGCCGATATATATTATTAAAATAAATAGAGAACCCTATGAAAATTATAATAATGTAATTTAAGGTATTAAAAATTAAAAAAAATAATTATTAATTTCTATTTACCCGTAAAAAGCCCCGGTGCTTCGCTAGTTATTAGACAAGTATGTAAATCGCTGCCTAGTTAATTTAAAAATGAAATCGCGCGTTTGTCTATACCAATGGCGGTAATTTAGTAGGTGATGAAATGATGAAGCTGAAGTTAAATTAGTTTGACACATCGTGAAAAATATTCCTTGAAAAAGCCATGCTGGTTTCCAGAGGGGGACAGCTTAGAGGTAGTATGTAGTTGTTATTGATAATTTCGTCATCAGTTTATATAATATGGGTAAACCAATTTTATCGATTCTTATAAAAGATATCAGTATAATATTAATTGCAATATTCATAAATTTATTACATTTACAATTAAAAATACCTGTTCAGCAAACATCTCTCCCATCTAAAATTGTAGTTGCACTATTTTTATATACTGCGACTACAATAATACCCAGTAAATTTTTTCTATATTTCTAGTTTATAAAATGTATATTAAGCGTTATGAATACATACCCCCTTATTCATATAAACATTACAAACATGTTAACTTCTCAAAAACCTATTTTAGTTTTTAACTCTTTTGTCTTTTTCTTTTACTCTCAATTCCCAATTTGAAAAATAAAGCGTTAAAACAGTATAATAGTCAAAGTAAGTATATAGGTTTTAGTTTTTATGAATTATGGGGTTAATATAAATTTGAAGAATGAATTTTTAGTTAAAGTATTTACGAGTAAGATGGCTTATATCTAAATACACCATATTTATTGATTCCATTTTTTATTACACTAGGTATCTTCTACGTCAGCGCACTTGGCTAGAAAGTCGTTTTATGTTTTTAACCTAAGTGTATGAACATCAATTAAAATTTGCTACGTAGTTATAATATAGCCCAGAGGAAGGTTTATGTTAGTGATAAAATATAGGTGTATTCACCTTGAAAAGTGCATTTTAAATAAGTAGATCACTAATTAATTATAATGTAGACATATATACGATAAATTACATCAGTAAAGATAGAACAACCAAGTGTGTTCCTTATTAGGAATTGTGATTTAGGTATTGCAATCAAAAATAATAGTAGATGTGTTGTTTGTTTGAAAAGAGTGTTTTCTCATTGAATTATATAAATATAGAATAGAATAGAATAGAAATCATTTATTCAAATAAACTTACATTGAAGCACTTTTGAAAAGTCATTACATTTTTTTTAATTTACCGCTCGTTCGGAAAGCTGTCTCATCACAAGAAGAACGAGCAAGAAACTTGCGTGATGCTCTTTTAAATAATTTTATTATTATTTTACATTTTTAAGTTTAATTGTGTGAATACAAACCACCAATTAGCACTAATTCAATTAAATACTCAAAAAGAAAAAAAAAAATTGAATACATAACCAACTGGTTAAACAATTAATAAGAGGAAATCAGTCATAGTGATTAGAGCAGACCAGTCCCTACAAGCAGCACCCGTTCACGAGTATGACGGATGAGCCAGCCATCACTGCGCTCGACCATATTTTAGGGAGCCCAATGACCCGGCCCACCACGCCGCCACAAGTCTGGACATTTTAGTGAGCATGACTACTCAAAACACTAGACCACGTCAAAGCTACTCACAATTGCCATCTGATAGTTATAGTATTCACATTTTACATAAGAATGCATGCGGCAATTAATACAAAAAACCGCTACGCTTTCATATTTCTAAAATTAATCAATTAAATCAAGAAAGCAATGAGAAAAAAAATAACGTTGTATGCTAATAAACTAATTATTTACTTGATATGTTGTCATCTATGAATTCGTCTATCCTGTAATAGGCTTTCTTACATAAAAATTGTTTAATATAAGATTTGAATTGCCTCTCTGTCAGATTTAATGCAGATTCCGGCAGTTTATTATAAAATCTTATGCAATTACCATAGAATGAATTACTGATTTTGTGCAGACGGCATTTAGGTAAAATAAGCTTATTTATATTGCGTAAGTTTCTACTTGTACAGTCTTTGAGTTTTTTAAAACTCGCTAAGTTCTTCCGTGTATACATAATATTTTCATAAATGTATTGTGAAGTAACTGTGAGGATATTTGAGTCTTTAAAGCACTGACGTAATGACTCTCTCGAACCCATACCATAAATAGAACGTATGGCTCTCTTTTGTAAAACAAATATAGTATTTATATCGGCTGCTTTACCCCACAGCAGTATGCCATAAGACATTATGCTATGGAAATAACTAAAATATACAAGTTTAGCCGAGTTTACTAAAATATAGAAGTTTAGGTTCTCAAAAACCAATTAAACTGCAACCCAAAATCAAATAAAGATAAATAACATGCCTATTCAAAATGTTAAGAACTTTAAGTACTTAGGAAAGTATAATCACAGAGGACGTTAGGTGCACATTGGATATTAGAACTAGAATAACGGTCGCAAAACAAGCCTAGGATAATAAAAACATATATTTGGATCAAAAATAATTCTTAAGAAATTTATAAAAACTTCTATTTGGAGCATAGCATTATATGGATGTAAAACATAGACAATGACGCAAAGGGAAAAAAAGGATGCTTGAGGTATTCGAAATGTGGACATGGAGGAGAATGGAAAGGATAAGCTGGACAGAAAAACTAACGAATAAGAAAGCCTTGAAAAGAGTATATGAGAAACGAACATTAATTAAAATAATTGAGAATAGAAGAGGCAAAATGCTGGGCCGTCTTATATGACATGACGATTTTTTAAAGACCGAGGAATAACTACATAGGACAAATAAAAGAAACACTAGGTGTCATGTCGTATAGGGAGGTCAAGGATATGACCTGGGATAAAACTGGTTGGAAGAAGATGCATGAATTAGTTGCACCGACAAAAGAAAACTCTTAAATGAAAAGAGAGAGGCTTTTTATATACCTTAATAGCGGTCATATCGAAATTTAGCCACGTGTGCAATATTTATAGAATTTGCCTGTATTTGTTAACTGTGATTTTTCGCGTTTTTAATACAACATCGAGATTTAACGCGATGGAAAATTTTTGCAGGTAAATAGTATATACATATCAGCTTTTTTTATTGCCGACGTTTTGATGTGGTCACGATGTGGTGCTCGCAAAAATTATTCATCACGTTAAGTCCCGATAGTGTATATAAAATATTGTCTGTATTTGTTTTTGTATTATGTGATATTTTTACCATCACATGTGACCCGAATTTGTTAATTTGAACCAACAGATTAGTCCTATTGATCCCATAATTATTTAGTGACGATTAAAGAGTTCCTTGATTGAAGATTTCATTGTGAAGCAAAATCTACTTATGCACATAATGCATTCATGATTATGTGTTTTAAATTCAAATAATTTTAAACATCTCGTTGTTTACTAGTGTATTTATATTAATATATAAATACAACATATATATTTTTATGTGATATTAATAAAGAATTACTGGTTTTTGTCTTATAAATCGACATTTGTCGAGACAAAAATATTTGGGTAAGTATGCACTGATATGAGATCAATACACGAATAAATCTAATTACAAAATCTTTGATAATTAGTTAAGTAATGGAAGTACTTAACTAAATAATAGATGTGAAAATTATCATTATCTCCAGTTAAAGCCATTTGGTTTGATAAGATATGGAGTACCATTAATATTTATTAATGGTATTTAACGTCGTCTTTGGAGGGAAGAGATTGTTAGTTATGCGGACTATCAGTTCCATTGCTAGCAAGATACCCCGTCAGGTCGACTTCCACGTGGCCCCCCCTGGAAATCATCGTGCTGTTTTCCAGATGTATTCATCACGATGAGCTAACTAACCTGCCTTTTCATCCTTATTTATCAACCCTCACTGGTGCCTCGCCAACGTTTACCGTTTGCGCAGGCGGAGTTACCGTAGTTATTATCATCCATTAAAAAAAACACATCGTCTTAAGTAGAATACAATGGCTTTAATGTCACTAGAAAGAGTATGAACGGTAAAGCTCGATAATGGATCTGCATATCTAGTTATTAATGCTCAAGGCTCGTGTGCCTTATACTAAATCGTCATATGTAATAGTAAAAGGAACAAATGAAATTGAAAGGCTATCTCTGACTCAGAGGCGTAGGCTATTCGAACATTGTAATGTACAACCACTGGCTCACCTTGGCAATGAAAGTGAAATGGACAATATAGACGGCACTTACGCGTATAAAAACCAGAGCATTACTTGTCGAAATTATTCAGTTGCCAACTTTAGCAGCATCAACATGTACGCCAAGGTGTGTTCTAGAGTTTGACTTATTTGGTGCATCACATCTACTATCAATATATTGGTCAAATTAGAAGTTTACCAGATGTTCTTGTATATGAATAAAAGAAAATAAAGTGATTATAAAGTGATGGATTTTTCAAAGCAATATTTTATTTTCTTTTCTAGCTGATCGTCGCTCTGTGCGCTGTGGGCTTCGCCCGTGCTGGTGGTCTCTTGGGAGCTGCCCCTCTGGCATACACCAGCCAAGCCATCGCCGCACCCGCTGTGGTGACTAAGACAATCACCCCCGCCGTGTCATCCTACTCTTCTTACTCCACCCAGACCTCTCACGGATCCCCCGTTGCGGCTTACGCTGCTGCCCCCGTAGTAGCTAAGACCTATGCTGCTCCTGCAGTAGCAGCCTACGCCGCTCCCGCTGTAGCGACTTACGCCGCTGCCCCCATTGTCACAAAGACCATCGCTCCCGCCGTCTCCTCTGTTTCCTCCTATTCTACCCAGACCTCTCATGGATCTCCTATTGCGACTTACGCCGCCGCTCCCGTGGTAGCTAAGACCTACGCTGCTCCCGCCGTGGCTGCCGTCGCTGCCCCCGCCGTCGCTGCGTACTCTGCTCCAGCCATCGCTGCTCCTGCTGTTGCTGCGTACTCAGCTCCCATTGTGACCAAGACCATCGCCCCAGCTGTCTCTTCAGTTTCCTCATATTCCACCCATACTTCTCACGGCTCTCCCATCGCGACCTACGCCGCCGCCCCTGTGGCCTCTTACGCCGCCGCTCCCGTCGTTGCTAAGACCATCTCCACCTACGCCGCGCCCGCGGTAGCCACCTATGCTGCACCCGCCGTCGCCTCCTATGCTGCGGCCGCCCCCGTCCTGAAATCAGCTATCGCGTACTCTGCCGCTCCTGCCGTCTCACACATCGCGTACAGCGGCCACGGTGCTAACTATGGTTGGTAAACTGAATCTCCTATCTTATCTGTAAATAGACCATTATAAAAATAAAACAAATTGCCATATACTTTAAATTTTTTTAATTTACATCCTTGTGTAGAGAACCCAATGAAATAAATTATAACTAGGTACGATTGAGTAGCTACTTGTGACGATAACCGGAACTAGTACTATTTAGAATGTATTGAAAGAAATCAATTCAGATGGATACTTTAATTTTTAGCATATGAATGAGTAAGGCTTGATATGAATCAAGACCTTATTCACTGGTATCTTTCCTGTTTGTCAAAATCAATTTAGCACTGTCGACACTTCAAGGCAACAAGTAAATATAATTTCGTTTAATTGCTTTCAAATTTAATAATAAAAATATTTTATCTTATAAATATCGATTACTTAAATGTTCTCAATCATAACGAATAAGAATAAATTTATTATCACAAGATATGTTTATGGTAAAGATTATTAACAGAGAAAATATACTTACCAAAGGGAGATTTTGTACAAAAGTCATTTGCTTGGGCTTTTTACTGTCCCATTTGTGTTTCTACCGTGAAGCGGTTGTGTTTGCATGGCGATTTCGGTTTGAAGGGTATGGGTATATGGTAGTAAATTTACGGGGTACAGAGGAATAACATCTGAGTCGTAAGGAATGGCAACGAATGGGGGTGTCATGGGCGAAACAGTATACTCTGTTATGTCCATGGTCTGTCATGTCTTTAGGTAAACAACAATAATGATAATAAAAATAATAGGTCAGATTTTTGTAACGGGTGAAAATGGAATAGTCAACCCGCCTGCGCTATCGGGATATGCTAATCGGATACCAGTGAGGGATGACAGGCGAGGATAAAGCAGGTCAATTGGACTATCGTGTTGAATTCATGAAAAATTAACCACGATGGTTTCCAGAAGGAACCGCGTGGAGGTGGACTTGTTTTTTTTTTATGAGTGATAATAGAATAACTGGGCGAGGCACCAGTGAAAGATGATAGGTGAGGATGAAGCAGGCCAGATAGCCCATCGTGACGAATTCAACAAGAATTGTTCACGATGGTTTCCAGGGGGAACCACGCGGAGGTCGACCTGATAGGGCATATTACTAGCAATGGGGCTGTCAAACTCCATTGCTAACAATCCCTCCTTTATTTAACAGTTGCGTAACATAAAAAAAACGAGTATTCATTATTCTATTTTCTACGATTGGCGTTTACTCTTTGAAAATTAGAAATTATTTTTTACGGTATTTGTCAACACTTATAAAGTGGAAAAAAATCTATTAAAAACATTACGAATATAAAAATAAGTAATTTAATTTGTTGGCAACTATATAATTGTTTATTTTAATTGCTGTACGTTTGTTGATTTTAATGTACTTCAATACATTTAAATTTTTTGTGTATAATTTAATTTTAGGTATGTTAATGGCTAAAGTTTATAATTATGAGCACATAGTGTAGAGTCATGATATAGGTATATGAACTACTAAGTATATGAATAAATAGTTTGTGTTAACTTTATAAAAGTTAACGCTGGTTAGATATTTAGGTATTTTGCAAAAACAAGATTACAACATTTTTTAAAATAACTTTTTTGAACATGTATTTATTAAATTAGTATTCTAAAATACGGTTTCAGAATAATTTAATGAATTCTTTATAGTGCTTAAGGTATTTGAAATTGGTAATTAGACAATTAACAATAATTGTTAAATAACATCAATATACGCTTAAATTATTATTAAAGTTACTGGGGATCACAGGAACAACTCTTAATCTACGCTGGAGACTTATCAGATGATTTTATTCGATAATAGGACTTGTTAGGATGAAGAAGAATATTTGAAATAGGATTTTACATTTTGAGGGAATACATTACTAAGACATTTTATTCAGTCATGGTTAATGAAGAGATGAAAGTACTGGATTGTTGTTAATAGATGCTAATAAAATGGTAGCTTCGCCTGCGTTAACGATATATGCTGGCGGGATCGATGATAGGTAAAAATGAAAAGGCAGGTTAGTTAGCCCATCGTGATGTATACATCTGGAACTCAGCACGATGGTTTCAGGGGGGACCACGTGGAGGTCGACCTGACAGGATTTATTGCGAGCAATGAGACTGGTAGTCCGTATTACTAACAATCCCTACCGTTCAATGTCCTGGATTAACAGATAAAATCGATTTTACCTTATCAATTTGGTGGAATTACTTATAATACTAACTACTGTACAAAAATAATCCTATGGGATCAAATCACTAAGGCTAAGATTCGTCTCCAATGCGGCGTTACTTCCTTTTTTTTACCATTGAGGTGGCAAACAAGCATACGGCCCACCTGATGGTAAGTGGTTACCGTAGCACATTATATTCTAATATGCTCAGCACAAATTGAGCTTGTCAAACGTTACCACATTTGAAACAGTAGATATTATGCCTCCATTTACTCCATTGGAAATAATAGCAGTGAGCATAATTCTTTTAAATTCTTTGAAAGCGAAGTTATGAGAAAAATAAATAAAATATGAAAGTAAAATAACAATAATAGGCACCTATGAATACAATATTTTAAACACGAAACAATAAATACAAAATGACCTTGACAAGACTGGTCATTGATCGTAAAGCTTAACCATTAGCTATAGGTATAATTTTTTTTATCTAGATCGTGGTTACCTATTTCATTTCGTGGACTTGTCAGTGCCAGAGGCAAGTTAATAAAATATAAGTAAAGACCAAAGATATTTTTGTTAGCGTAGCTTTTAAGGCTTTCTCAATCTAGAACTATAAAATATTCAAATACATTGTATTTTTTTTAATTATATTTAAAAAAAAATTGCTGTCCGGTCCCGGCAAAGAATTAAGCACCCTTTCTTTCTCGTGAGGGTCGTTAGAGACAAAGAAGGGAGATTAATGGTCGAGAGATGGGCAGCAGCGTCCCTCTCAAATTATCACCAAAGTCTAACTGCAGTTGCTAACTGTACTGATGTGGTATGGTATGGTATTGCATCATTACAATATTGAATCGATTTCAAAAAGAAGGAGGTTCTTTTAATGTTTGTTACCTCATAATTCCGTTAGTTCTGAAATGATTTGGCAATTTTTTTTTATACGAAAGGATATACTTACTGATCGGTTTCATAGAAATTTTAACAAAATCGGTCCAGTAATTTAGTTTTTAGATCAAAATAACTAGTTTATAAGACGGTTTTTTGTGGGACACAATCTTTAATTATATATTTTCTATATTATTTATTTTTTATATGACTTCGTCCACGTGACTAGGATGTTTTTTTTTTTGATGGGTGAAAATGGTATGGTAACCCGACCGCGCTAACGGGATACGCTGGCGGAGCACCAGTGAAGGGTGATAGATGAGAATGAAAACAGGCCACTTAGCCCATCATGATGAATTTATCAGGAATTAACCATGATAGTTTCCGGGGGGAACCGCGAGGAGGTCGACCTGATTGGGTATATTGCTAACTAACTAACTAAATGTGTATAGTAAACAACTATCGGTTTAACTTACGTGTAATTACATTGAGAAAGCTCTATTTCTATACCATGAAGGTGATTATTTTTTATACCACTGAGGTAACAAAGAAGAATACGGCCCACCTGATGATAAGCGCCCATGAAAGCCGACAATACCAGGGATATTACGCAAGCGTTGCCGATATGGAAGAAACCTCTTTATTTCCCTTTTGAAGAACCCCATACGTCTGTAGGAAAAACTTCGGCAGGGAGATCATTTCACAGCCTGAATGTTTGCGGGAGAAAATTCCTTTGAAGCCACACTGTACGTGACCATTTAGGTTCAAGCGTGTGAGAATGAATTCACTGTCAATGGCGAGCGGTCAGACGATAAAACGTAGCTGTAGGCATCATTTTAAACAAACAAAAAGCTTGGTTATTTTCGGGACCAATTCGGGACCCTTAATCGTGAGCGGTAGTGATGTGAGCGTGAGCCGGATTGCACACTTCGGTCCGCTAAGCGCGAGCTGTAGGCGTTTGAGGCAGCGTCACAAATAAGAAAGACGGCGTTCGGAAATATTCGAGTATGAACGGCTGGGCTCCGTAGCCTTCCTCTTCGTCTGGCGTTGTTAATAGAGTACAATGAAGAATGAAACGATAAGGATGAATTTAGTTTATTATTAACCAGTAATTAACAGGATAGGGGTCGCGTCGAGGTAGATCTGAGAGAACAGTCTGTCATAATGGGATCGCTAGTCTCCATTCTTAAAAACCCCTACCTAATTAATGAAAGTTGTTTATCTTTTTTAAATTAAAAATCATTCAATGTCAATGATAGAACTTTGCGACACTTAGCTTTCATTAGACGGCTTCATTTAAATAATAAATGTATAAATCATGCTATATGTAAGTATGGAAAATTTTATGCTGATTGTTGTAGTCGTTAAAGTGCCAAGAATTTAATAAACTTACTTTTACATTTATTTAAAGACTAAGAATAAGGAAGTAAGTGTATAATAAATAAATAGTGCATAACTACCATGATTCTGTATGAAATTCTGATAAAAAACTCAAGAACCTAAAGAACTTAATTACCGTTACATTACTAACACAGGTATTAGGTCATTTATCTATTCTTCCATTTTTTTTTCTATTGATACCCAAAGTTTTAATCAAAATTATGTATAACACATATAAAAATTTACTTTTCAAATTAACGTTGATAAGTTTATGTAAGTCTGAGTGTTAACAAATATTTGAAGCTCTGTTTTGCAACTATAATAATATATATGTTTTTGTGTTTGTTATTTAAAGTACGGGAATGGATAATGAAAATGTCTGAGCAAATTGTAAATGTCTATATATTTACAGTACTTACTAAGTTAGTTTTATACAGCTTTGAGGTTTGTTAAAGGTTTATTTTGAATTGATGATAATGGAATGATAATTCCGTCTGCGCTAATGGTATGCACTGTTGGGATACCAATAAGACAGGGAAATTTCTAATTGGTATGGCTAATTCGGAGTCATATTAGTAAAATTAAAGGGTCTTATATGATAATCCCTTAGTTTTTAGGAGTAGTAAAAAATACGGGGTACTATGGGTTTTAATTACTGTATACTCTATGATGCTTATGGTGCCGCTCATGTCTATAAGCAACGGTTACTATAATATCATTAAGTCGGTCGTAAGTTTGTTTACTTATATGTTTTAAATGACATTTTGTTAATGATAGTTGTTGATTTATTTGAGTTGTTTGCTTACGACAACTTTGCATTAATTGCTTTATTTAAATAATACGTTAGGTACGTTATATATATACAATGTTGATCGATTCGTCACTATTCTAGATCCACTGAACTACCTTATATTCACGGACTTATGAGTATTTCGAAAGTGAAATGCAAAGTGCAGACGGCATCTATTTGATATAAAAACCGCAGTATTACTTGACGAAATTATTCAGTTGCCAACTTTAGTAGCATCAACATGTACGCCAAGGTGTGTTTCAGGATTAATTAGAATAAGATTAATGTTTTATAATGTGATATAACATAGTTGTTAGTGAATAATCTCGTCTTTTTTAGAATATTAAATAATGAACGTAAATTTTATTTCATCTCTGTGAATATAATTGATAGCTTTTTTTTAATGATACAATGGAAAATAAGCTGACGGTTTATTTAGTGGAAAGCCACGGACACCACAGAATGCACTGTGATATCCATGGTATCTCTTATGTGTACATTCCTTAGAAGTTTTATGCATCTGTACCCTCTAATTTTACTTCCATATCCCACACTGTCACCCGAGCAAATCACTTTTGTATAAAGTATAAAAATACTGTAACTAGTGTAAAATCAAATTGTAAATTAATATTTTTTAATGTTATATTTACAGCTGATCGTCGCTCTGTGCGCTGTGGGCCTCGCCCGTGCCGGTGGTCTCCTAGGAGCTGCCCCTCTGGCCTACTCTAGCCAAACCATCGCCGCCCCCGCTGTCGCTACTTATGCAGCTGCTCCCATCGTCACCAAGACCATCGCTCCCGCTGTATCGTCGGTCTCTTCATACTCCACCCAGACTACTCATGGCTCTCCCATCGCGACATACGCCGCCGCCCCCGTTGTGGCTAAGACCTATGCTGCTCCCGCCGTGGCTGCCGTTGCTACCCCTGCTGTCGCAGCGTACTCTGCCCCCATCGTAACCAAGACTCTCTCTCCAGCTGTATCTTCGGTCTCTTCCTATTCGACTTACTCCGCTGCCCCTGTGGCTTCCTACTCCGCTGCCCCCGTTGCCACCTATGCCGCCGCCCCTGTAGCCTCTTACGCTGCTGCCCCTGTAGTCGCTAAGAGCATTTCCACCTATGCCGCGCCCGCCGTAGCCACCTACGCCGCCGCCCCCGTGGCCTCTTACGCCGCCGCCCCCGTGGCCTCTTACGCCGCTGCCCCCGTGGTTGCTAAAACTATCTCCACATACGCCGCTCCCGCTGTTTCACAAATCGCATACAGCAGCAATGGTGCCAACTATGGTTGGTAAATTGAATCCCATGTAAATAGACTTATTATAAAATTAAATGAATTATCTGTGATAACTTATCATTTTTATTTTTATCCTTTATTAAATTCCGTTTCTATATTTATTACGAAGGTCTACCAGTTGCAATAAGTTACGATGCCTGTTTGATAAATGTCAGATTGCCGAGATAAAATAACATAATTGTTACGAGCTATATACAATGGATTAATTTAATTAAACAATATAAAGTTTTGTCAGTTACTGATTACTTGCAATTTTTTGCAAACATGTTTATAGTTAAGTAATCGCGTAGCGCAGTGCTATAAAAATAGTTTATTTTAATAGATGTTTATTGTCATTATTTGCAAATATACAGATTAAACTTTACATTTTCGATATTATATTACATACAAAATTCGGTTTAAGGTTTTTTACAGTCGTCCAAGATTATATTTAGAGTTTCGTGCCAAGAAGGTACAAAGGAATCTTCTTGACTATGACCGTCTTTTCGTCTGTGTTTCATAGTTATATCTTAGTGACTACTAATATTATCAATTTGAATTTTGTTTGGGATTGTTTTACATATTGTAAACCCACATATACTGCAGTGGAAAAGTGCCAAAGAAAATAAAAACATATTTTTATTTTGTTTGCCAAAAGGGATACTTAGAATTTCAAAATGGCCTTACTAGTCCAAATGAGATATCAGATGAAAAGGCTTCATTTGTATATTTTGAAATTAATTTTTATTTATTTCCGAAGTTTGCGAAGCAAAAAACCAGAATTAATTAGGATATAAAACATATACGCGAATATTACAGGAAAAATAAACCGATGTTTCGAACTAGCACGGTGTTTAATATGTTAAATTATCAAAAAAACCTCCAATAACAAATTTAGTTTTCGGTCCAGTTTTTAACCACATTTATAGCCTAAAATTACGAATTTCACTATCAACAATAATAATTATTGGGTCTCTATTAGATAATGTTAATAAGTGCGATTTCTGTATAATTTTGGCGAACTTTTTGATTTTGAGTATTCAGAAAAATTAAATTTCCCGGAAAGTCTTTTATAGAATCCTTCTGTTTTTCTGGTACTTCGGCTTTCCTGAAGAATCTAATTAAAAAGCAGAGTTGTAAGATTCATTGCAGCTGAATAGGGTTCGGTACTTGCTAAAAATAATCCTATTTCGTATAACAATTGGAAAAAATATCAACCAATCTTATATGTATATTTTCGGAACCGTCTGCATGTAACTCTTACTTGGACGATTTTATTTTAAAGTAGTTATGAGTCTGCCTGTGATATGTTCTACATAATATTTTATCCATAATTATTATACTATATACAAAGTGAGAATCGAAATCATCACCACTGATCACACCACACTGACATTATTTTAAATGAAAAGTGTGTCGAAAAACGACACAAAATTTTCAACTTTCCATAATTAAACGATGTATTCATAATAATCAGCGTTATCATTAAAACGGAACGGGATAACGGAACTTGTATTAAATATGGACAGCAGAAATATTGGCTTTTTAGAATTATTTCCTACATATGTTCCATATTATATCTAACACAACCAATAGCCAACAAAGCCTGTGAATACGACTATGTATTCACTCGTAGTATTTTACATATATTACATTACATAGAAGTTAATTATATATCTTTTTAGAACATGTGACTCAATATTTATACAGCATACGAATGTGGAAATGATAGGGAATGAAAAAATAATTATAATGCTACACAATCAGACCAATTTTCTGATTTTTAATCTGAGATGTGCTGTGTTTTCTCTTAACCAGACAACGAATACTTGAGAACAGATTCCAAAAAGTCAAATAAAAGAAAATTGACATCATCATCATCATCTCAGCCGTTATCCATCCACTGCTGAACCCCAATAGATTGCCATAAGGGACAGCTTGAGTCACCTGCATCCACTGACACCCTACAATGCATTTGAGGTCGTCATCCGTGGATGCGTCCAGCTTTTAAGTAAATACGGGAAGCTTTTTATTATTAAAATTTTTATTATATTACTTATTTTTATTATATTATATTACTATATTATTAGAAAAATTATTATTATATTTCGACATAATTCTTTAGAAAAAAAAAGTTTTTTTTTTTTTATTACTATGATATGGTAGTTAACGAGCATATGACCTATTTGATGGTAAAAGGCGTATGTGACATAAAGACGCTTGCAACAACAGAAGTAACAAGCACGCGTTGTCAACTTTCAGTGAGGAGAATCAAGTTTTAAAGTCAAAAGATTTCGAGGTCTAGTCAGGATAGCCTAAAATTCGATTACAATGATACATTTCATTAAAAAGAAATAGTATGTTATTGGTTTGTAGGTGAAGAAGTATTTTTTATAATTTTTTTTACAATTATGATTGGCAAACAAGCTGACGGCCTACCTGATGGAAAGTGGTAACCGTCGCCTATAGACATGAGCAGTACCATGGACATAACAGAGTATATTGTTTAGCTTATGATACCCTCCATGCGTTGCCATTCCTGAGGACTCAGTACCCATGAGATAAGAATAATTAAAACAAGTTGACGTAGATCCAGCCAGGAGGGGGGAGGGGGAAGAAGCATCCCTCCTATGACCCCCTCCTTAGGTTCGAAATAGATATAGAGTATCGAACCAGGCAGTAAATTATTATCATATCAAATTTCATCAAAATTCATGTAAATTCGTGATGCGTACTTAGGTGCAATCTGGTTACAATTTTGATAATGTATGGAAGGCATCTATTTTTTGTTTATTTATTTAGCCGTTTTTAGATTGAGCCAATTCAGAGTTTATAAATATTATTCTTGAACAACATTCACGGTTTTATAAATAAATGTATACGATACGTGGATTTGTATTTTTATAAATAATTAATGGTGTTTTTTTAAATGAGTTTTTGCTATTTTAGATGCAAAGTTATTTTACGGTTTAATATCTGTCGATAAATTGTAATATATTATTAGGTTACCTATAATTATGTAAGTATAAGAAGATAGCGACTTATAAATAGGTGAAAAGAAAGAGAATGAGTATACCATAAGTATTTTTCTTTATTTTTTAAATTAGTCTATTTACATGAGATTCAATTTACCAACCATAGTTGGCACCACTGCTGCTGTACGCGATTTGTGAAACAGCGGGAGCGGCATATGTGGAAATGGTTTTAGCGACCACGGGGGCAGCGGCGTAAGAGGCCACAGGGGCGGCGGCGTAAGAGGCCACGGGGGCGGCGGCGTAGGTGGCTACGGCGGGTGCGGCATAGGTGGAAATGGTCTTAGCGACCACGGGGGCAGCGGCGTAAGAGGCTACAGGGGCGGCGGCGTAGGTCGTAATGGGAGAACCGTGAGAAGTCTGGGAGGAGTAGGAAGAGACTGAGGAGACAGCGGGGGCGATGGTCTTGGTCAGAATGGGAGCAGAGTACGCTGCGACGGCAGGAGCAGCGATGGCTGGTGCAGAATACGCAGCGACGGCGGGGGCAGCGACGGCGGCTATGGCGGGGGCGGCGTACGTCTTAGCTACCACGGGGGCGGCAGCGTAGGTCGCGATGGGAGAGCCATGAGTAGTTTGGGTAGAGTAAGAAGAGACCGACGATACAGCGGGAGCGATGGTCTTAGTGACGATAGGGGCAGCTGCATAAGTAGCGACAGCGGGGGCGGCGATGGTTTGGCTAGAGTATGCGAGAGGGGCAGCTCCCAGGAGACCACCAGCACGGGCGAGGCCCACAGCGCACAGAGCAACGATCAGCTGTAAACACAATAATAATAATTGTTTTAATTTGCATTGTACTGTTGAAGAATTACTTTTTTTATGCAACTTAGAATGGCAAACATGCTAACGGCCCACCTGATTGAAAGTGGTAACTGTCGTCTATAGACATGAGTAGTACCATGTACATAAAAGAGTATACTGTTTCGCCCATGATTCCTCCTTTGCGTTGCCATTCCTGAGGATTCAGGTGTTATTCCTCTGTATCCTGTAGATTCACTGCCATATCTCACCCTTCAAACCGAAACACAGCCATGTAAACACAACTGCTTCACGATAAAAACACGAATGGGACAGAGGTACCCAAGCAAACGACTTTTGTACAAAATCTCCCTCTGGTAAGTATATTTTCTCTGTTAATAATCTTTACCATAAACATATATTTGATAATTTCTTTATTATTCGTGTGAGGTTATTACCCTCTGGTGTCAAAGAGTTATTGGATCGCCTTTATTACACGAAGACCTCTGAGGCGGCTTACGAATGACAGCTGTACGTGCCCTCGTAATCACAAAGTAAGTGACAATCATTTTTAAATGACATAAAATTAAAATGAAAATTTAAAGATTTTAGCTGGGATCTCTTGATCGCCGTCAAACTTTATCCAACCGTCTTGTCAGTGTTGAATATATATTAAAATAATAGAATAACTGGTTGCAATTTTTTTTTTATTTTTGAGAGAGAGAGAGAGAGAGAGAGATGTTGTAAATCTATAGAAGTACTGTAGTATAATTATTAAAATGAATCCTGTAACAAACCTTGGCGTACATGTTGATGCTATTGAAGTTGGCAACTGAATAATTTCGACAAGTAACGCCCTGGTTTTTATACTGCATTACCGGCTGTACTCTACATTTCACTTTCATAATACTCGAAGTCCATGAATATAAGATATATATAGTTCAATAGAAACAGTTGCTTGTTTTTCAATATCTTTTTGCTATATTTTTTATAGATTTTTTTTTAGATTACCTATCCACATCCATTTCAATGGCTCAGCATAAAAGTATAGCTAGGTAAACGAGTAGGTATCATAATTATGACTATTCTAACATATTTTGATTCATTTTTAGTTGCATTAATTAACACTAAGTAGATACTACATTTTAGAATAACATTGATTAAGTATTGGAAGAATGAAATAATTTAGTATTTATTTGCATTTTTATGTTTATTATATTAAATATAAAAAGATTTATAACAAATATTACCTATACCTAATTAAAAAATCTTTAACCTAGTTATCTAATTAGGATTCTGGTAAAATCCACAAATATTTTTAATATGTTAAAATATTCGCACACTTATTAAATATTTAGATATTTCTTAAGCAATGATACACACGGCTTTGTAAGAAACTAGGTTTTGGATTATCCATTATATAGTTTATTTCAATATAATGTTCTTTGTATCTAACCTAACCATGAAAAATATATACCAAAGATAGAAGAAGCCAAAAACTAGCTACCGTTTGCTAGTCGATTGACTATGTTCTCATGGTTGTTTTTTTACTGGACAATGATAGAATATTAAAACCCACCTGCGCTATCGGTATACGAGTATGCGGACACTAGTTTTATTTTTAATACATAATAATGGAATGGTAGCCTTTTTTTCGTATCCTGTCTTCGCACATTCCCTGGAGTGGGAATGGGGAAACCAGTCCGGGGCTGGTTGGCCCCTCTCTGGTTGTTTTCCACGCAATGCGCGACTACGCATGGGTCGCTGGGTGAGCCTTATGCTGGTGGTGGCTTGTCGTCTTTGTTTGCGATTCGATTATGTTCCTCACGTGTGTGCCGACCGGCTCGCTCAACGCGGTCTGGTCGGCACACACGTGAGGAACATCGCCTGCGCTAACGGTACTTATACGCCTGGCCGGGCACCAGTGAGGGATCATCTATTAGCATTTAATTGTTCATTGTTGAACATAAGCCCCCGCCCACCCCGCATTACTAACAATTCCTTCCCTTCCTCCCACGGGGCAGTGGCAATAGAAAAGAAGGTGATAGGGCCGCTAGTCCCTATATGTCTCCTATATATCCGTTTACTTGGTTTTTGTATAAATGATAAGATATGGTAGTAAAATTACAGAGCATGAAAGCATAGCACCTTAGTCCTTAGTCGACTGAAGGTGTCGTGGTGTATTCAGTAACATTCATGGTGCTATTTATATTTACAGATCACTTTACTGACTACTTATTACACTTACTAGATTACTGCATTTATTTAGGTGAATTCGTAAATCTTTGTTTAAATAATACATGAATTAAATTATACTTGTATTAATTACCTAAACACCTGCTTCTAATTTCATGCCTTTTTTATTAATCATAATTTATCCCAATTTTAATTTATAACATGTAGAATTCTACAAGAGTCATCGTATAAAATCTATTAATAAATCAAAATTATGTTATGTAGGTAGTTCAACGCTAAAAAGGCAGTTTCGCAAAAAAAAAAACGAGAATTATAAATTTATTAGAATAAATTTTGGACAGACTGTTTGGTGGGTGACTGATTATACGATTTGATTAGGGTTGGTTATTACTTAAAACACGAGTAAGTTTCAAATAATCTACTTGTATTCATTAACTATACAAGTTAAATAAAAAGTAAGAGTTAAAAAAATATATTTTTTAGTAAGTTTTAATCCAAAGAATATTTACCAGTATTAAGTGAATATTTTTCCATTTTGTTTGATATATATATATATAAAATTATCAATTTACATGCAAAATATTTTTCAACATTCTGATTTAAAAAAATAATTGACAGCCCTATTGGATAGATCGAGTCAGTATGAATACGGCGTTTTTGCCGAAATCTATTATTAATCTTATTTAAATGTAAAGAAAAATTTGAAGAGACACAATTATTGAAAATTTGCATACCAAGTGTGATAATTTGCAGATGTATCATTTCCAGTTTTAGGCAATGGTATATAAATGAGCGTTTGTGAATTTGAAACTATTCTGTTGTCTAAATACAAAGATCCAAGATGTACGGCAAGGTATGGTGAAGTGGTTCAAATTAAAAGGATTATTTATAGAGCGATTCCTATAGATTCGGTGTTGTGTATATAACGTTATTTGTGGTTTCAGTTGATGGTATTCCTGTGCGTGGCGGGCATCGCTTCTGCGGGCAACCAGGCCCCCGCTGGATACACGACCGCTGCCCCCGCAGTGTCCTCTGTTTCGTATGCGTCACAGCCTCGAGTTGTGTCCACGTACGGTCCCGTCGCTTCGTACCCCGGATCATCTGCTCTCTCTAGATCATACACCGGCCCTAGCATCACGACTTATTCCTCGTCTCCAGTATCGAGACCTATTGCCAGTGTTCCTCAATATACCGCTGCTCCAGTCGCGTACTCTCCTCAACCCTACAGTGCAGTTTCAGTAATCCCTAGAAGTGGCGTCCCTGCTGTATCGTACTCCACCCCCGCAGCTATACCTTACTCTGGAGCACAGGGATATACCGTAGCTGCGCCATACACTGCCCAGGCGTACTCTATTCCCGCATACTCTGCCCCCGCGTACAATACAGCACAAACGTATTCAGGTGTTGCTTACCCCGGTTACTCTGCTGTTACCCCCGGATATTCTGGATACCCTTCACCAGTCCAGTATTCCTCCGCACCGGCTGTATCTCAAGTAAGCTATAGTGGTTTAGACGGCAGCTACTCTTTTTAAACACCAAATCTAATACCAAAAATATGTATTCAAACCCGCAAGAGACTGTAAAACTGTTATAAAAAATGTTAAATAAAAATACGATAAAATATACGTATTACAATTTAATGTGATTTTTATTAGTTTTCCCTTAGAATAATAATTTTATTATTACAATAAAATTATAAATAGATTTCTAACAATAGAATAGTTGTAGAAATAATTAAACAAAGATATTAGACATCTAGTTGTTATTCTAACAATAAGAAAGCAATAGGTTAGTTAAAGGTGTTTCAAAATAGGATCCGAAATATTTGGTTTAAATTTTCAAACTTTTTTTTAAATATTTTATAATTCACGTATCTAGCGAAGTTGGTGGCAAAATAGATAGATAACTAGGAAACTATATATTTGATGTAAAGTGGCAGCCATCAAATCTTTGGTTTAAAGGTTTAAACTTTTTTTTTTATATTTTATACTGGACGTATCTAGCGAAGTTAGTGACAAAATAGATAGATAACTAGTACTGTATATTTGATGTAAAGTAGCAGCCATAAAATCTTTGGTTTAAAGTTTTAAACTTTTTTTTTTATATTTTATAATTGACGTATCTATCGAAGTTGGTGACAAAATAAATAGACAACTAGCAAACTATATACTTGATGTAAAGTAGCAGCCATCATCTATAAATATGAACAATGGAAGATATTACATTCAAATTAATAGAATTTTAGTAGGATTACAACGCCTTTGATGCTTTGTACGAGTATTTTATATCTTGGTGAAATACCTAAGAAACTTTTTTTAAGGGACCGTCCGTCCTAAGAAACAGAATATTTTTGTCCAAAGAAACATATTTCGTAAAAAGACAAAAATAAAAACTACATTTTTTTTTATATCACTGAGATGGCAAACAAGCATACGGCCTATCTGATGGTAAGTAGTTACCGTGACCTATGAACACCTGCAATATTATTACGTGTGCGTTGCCGACCCTGAAAAAACCTCTTTACCCCCCTTTTGAAGAATCCCATGCTGTAGTCTTTTGGGAAAACCTCGGCAGGGAGCTTATTCCACAACCTGAGTGTTCGTGGGAGGAAACATCTCTGAAACCGTTATTGAGGCTGTAGGACATGAGGATGAACTCCCTGTCGATGGCGAGCCGTATGATGGTAAAATATAATGGTATAATGGTGCGTTCAGTCAAAATGAATAGTAGATAAAAGAATCATGGTGCAAAAAGAGATCTGTCGGGAGACTAAAAGACTGAAGAGTTATGTCGGATGGACTGTAGAAGTCGTAAGTTCTGATGCAATCGATATCATATTATTATAATTATTTTAGCCGTCAACTGTCCAACTGTTGGCAATCGCAGTTAGGCTTTTAGAGATGTTTTAAGAGGGACGTTGCTGCCCATCCCTCGTCCTCCCTTAGTCGACTCTTACGACATGTTCACCATAAAGGTGATAGCTTGCAAATAATTTGTCCACTCCATTAGAGATTTAGTACTCAACATATTTTTTTTTTAATTTAAATATTTTCATCTACAGGGTAAAACTAATTTTACAATATGTTTAAAAAATACAAAAAGATATATATATATATACATTATATATACATATATAACGTTGTCTTAATTTGTTATTTGATAATTAATTAGTGTAAAGAAGTCATGGAAAAAAAACATGCAAATTTGTGAGGTCATTTTAGATATAATATGTATTTATATTGTATTTGTATATTAATTTATTAATTTTATTATTTGAATAAATGGCATTGATTTTAAGTTTCTTGACACGTGAATGTCATGCTATATTTCTCTTCTATTTATGATCTGAATATATTTTCCATTTGTCTACCGTTTTGAAAATGAAGGAGGTATTTTTTGTAAATAAGTATATTAAATAATACGTTTCGTTTTATATCGATTTTGATGATACAATCTTTATCAAAACGAGAACAAAAATAAATAGTTTATTAAATAAATAATGTAATAATAAAACTTTATGTTTATATAAAATAAAATGTATTTATATTACATTTTCTTCATATAAATTAATTTACAATACACTCATAAATAGTCTACATCTACTGTACATAAATCTAAAAACACAGGTACACTGAGTCTTATTTACCAGCCGTAGCTAGCTCCTATTCCAGAGTATGATACGTGAGATACAGCGGGAGCAGCTGAGTATGTGACTGCGGATTTTAGTACAGGGGCAGCCGCGTAAGAGATAGCGGGTGCGGCAGCAGCGTAAGTTACAGCGGGAGCGACGGTCTTAGTAACTAGGGGAGCGGCGGCGTAAGTCGCAACTGCGGGGGCTGCGTATGACTTAGCGATCACGGGAGCTGCGGCGTAGGTTGCAACTGCAGGGGCAGCATATGTCTTAGCGACTAGAGGAGCTGCGGCGTAGGTCGCAACTGCAGGGGCAGCGTATGTCTTAGCGACCACGGGAGCTGCGGCGGCGTACGTTATAGGTGAAGAGTGAGTGGAAATCGACTGGTAAGATACAGCAGGTGCTACCGCCTTGGCAACAACAGGCGCCGCATAACTTTGTACGACGGGGGCTGGAGCAGCGTAGGCTACTGGAGCAGAGATAGATTGGTACGAGACAGCGGGAGCTAAAGTCTTAGCTACCACGGGAGCAGCGGCATATTGGATGGCGGGTGCTGCCGCATAGGCTATAGGAGTAGATTGTCTAGTAAAAGATTGGTATGAGACAGCTGGAGCGATGGTTTTGGTGATGACGGGTGCAGCGGCGTATGTGGCAGGAGCGGTCGCGTATGATATGGGAGCTGTCTGGATCAGGTTGCCAGCGGAAGCAATGCTTGCCGCGCAGAGGAAGACTACGACCTGAAATAATAATAAATAATACGTTATTTTTAACGTTAATTTTACACGAATAAAATTCAAAAAAATATTTGATAATCATATAATGTGATATGATTTTAATATTATGTTAATATTAAATCGTGAAGCTTCTGTACCTTGGTGTACATGCTTGTTGTTTGTCGATCGTGTTTATGATATTTCAATAATCTTTTCTTACGCTTTTATACAGTCACCAAAAACCGGTATTGAAATTATATTTACATCTAGTTAGTTGATTGCCCCGGTCGTTCGCTGCAATGTCAAGGCTTAAGACTGTCCGATTCGGTAGGATGTAATTGTGCAATAATCGTTTATATTCCATATCTTTAGCAAAATAGATTATTTAATTCAATACTTCTTTCAAATATTTGCAAGGTTGATAATGGAAGATGTCTTTATTTGTTGTAAGTATATTCACGTATCTATTGTATGTTTTTTAAGGTATCAAACTCTTTCCTATGTGAGTACAAATAAAAATTTTAAACAAACAATTTATCCAAAAGTAATTACAAATTTACAATCGAGCGAAAATTATTATAATTGAAAATTGTAGATTTTTTGCGTACATACGTTATTTACGTATAAGTATAATGTAGATATATGTTTCTATGCGAATTAGATACCTCTAATAATAGTTCATAGTTAGTGTCATCTAATAGGAAGTTGAAACTATTGGTTTATATAATCTGTTGCTAATCCGTGTGGTATTACTACTCTTATTACTCTTTTGAGGATGCCTTTTGATGTCAAGAGAAAAAAACTTTAACATGGCTCACTAAACAACAGTTTTACATGTCCTTCGAAGCAAGAAGCAAACGACAATCACTTTAAAAATAACCTAAATATAAATTTCAAATTTAGAGCAAACAAGATTATCAAGTTTGAGTCCCATACTCGATCTTGGAAATAAGGTACCTACACCCTATCCATTACAAAAACAAACACATATATATCTGAGTATATACCTGTGTTGATGCTTCATTAATATTAAAGCTGATGCTTTTCTCTGCGAAATGAAAAACTGCTTGTTGTGAAGTTAAATGTAGACTCCCTATTTTATATTTATATATTTTCAATACATAATATATACAAATTATTTTCAATGTATAATACATTTATTTTCAATGAGAGAAATTTCGTTTTTCGTCGGCATATTCCTGTATATTCATAATTGAAGTTTTTTTTTTGTAAATTTGAGCATAATACACTTTTCCGTCATATTGTTTTTGTCAATAAAGTAATTTGAATAAATAAATACTATTTAGGCATCAACTAGTAAATATATAATTTATAAAACAAAGTCTAATGAATTAAATTAGTTAAATAGATTAAAACGACGCCCACGATACAATTACTAACTAGCAAGATGAAAACAGTAGCTAGTTTAATAAACTAGTTAAACTACTAAGGTAGCTAGTTTAACAATCGACAAGAATACTATCATAATTGTAAGTACTATCCTGGAATTTGATTATTTCTATAATAGACAATATCAATCACTATCAACTATACCATATTTATATTTAGTAAAAATTGCCAATTTTCGATAATTGTAATTAAAGTATTAATTAATAATTATGTATATTGGAAAGGAATGTAATTATGACTGTTTGTTATTATGTATATTGGAATATAAGGGAGTTGGCAGGATATTTATTTAGTCGTTACTTGGGTAGTAGTGGATACAGGGACGGACTTGGTAGTAGTAGACAGATACAGGGGAAGGATTTTGTTCTAAGTAGTTACTAATTAGTAAAATAATTTGAATACGAAAATCAGTATATTACTAGTTTAGTAATAGTATTATAAAATTAGTAATTACTATTTATTGGAATAACAAAATTATTTGGATTTGCGCACCGCTGATATAGACGCTATGGGTGTCACGTGCTCGCTGCTGATCCTGAAGAAACTATAATATATTCTTTTTGAAGAACTCCATATTGTGGTCTCTGGGGAAAACCTCAGCAGGGAGCTCACTCTACAGCCTGAGCGTTTGTGGAAAAAAAAATCTATGAAACCGCACTATACGTGACCACATAGGTATATACCTATTGTTAAAACATTATTCCAGAACACATACTTAACATCCTAGAAAGTATACTTGATATACTCTACGTGTACGTGACACCCCTAGTGTTGCAGGCGTCCATAGGCTGCTGTGGTCGTTTACGATGGTAATGGCATTAGACGGGCTGTATGCTTGCTTGCCACCTTTGTTGTATAAAAAATGTAGGATTATTTATCTTCATAATTCTTTTATGAATTTTGTTGTAAATTTACGTAACATAGTTATGCTTTAATAATAATATTTTCACTACAAATTCCATTCTTTAAACCTAAAGATAGTCACCATAATAAAAATAATAAACTATGTAGAAGACTTTTGTATAAAGGTTTCTACTGATACTAAAACATACTGTCATATGATTACTGAAATATAATGGATACAATACGCATGCTGAGTATAGGTACTCCTTTAAAAATGCCCATAAGACTACAGATAGTAGTGTTAATACGTTTGCATAATTAATAAAGAAAAATAAATTCTTTAATAGTACATTACTGCAGCGGCCAGCAACTGAGGCATTGATGGACGAACGTGCAAATGTGGGCCGAGGTGTAGCCGAGCCGAGCTCAAATAATGCCCGGAAATCAAAAACACAATTTTACTTTTTAAGTTCAATGACGAATAACGAACAATAATAATTTTTCACGCGCCATAATGTTTTGTGTGTGTTTTTTTTTTTTCAATAAACAGCTTTCTATTTGCAAGCCAGTTCGAAATTTAAATAAAACCTTTTATTAGTTACCTCCTTGGTAGCCATGTTTCGAAGCAAAAGATCATTCCATTTTCAAATTACAGGACAGATATGAGTTTACATAGTAATTTATGTGGCCACAAAACACGACAGATATGGATTTTCATACAACTTTTGCCGGCCGCTGCCCGCATGTATCTGATCAGTACGCCAATTTTGATTTATCTCTAAGAAGATTGTCAGAATAATGCTCACATTTCCAAGCATGTTTGAGAAAAACAATTTAATATACATTCATCATTATACTAGCTGTTACCTGTTAGGCTTTGAAGATGTTTTAAGAGAGACGCTGCTGCCCAGCCATCGACCATTAAATTTACTATATATATATATATATATATATATATATATATAATACTCGTGCATCAGTAAATAGTTGACTGTATTTTGTATTATTTTTTAAGTGGTGCAATAAAGAGTTAATAAATAAATAAGGGACCTGGCATGACTTAACCTGTATACTTGTAGTTCAATAGCATTTTTATGCTTTTATGATTTATAACAGAAGTTGTAAATATGTATTAACATTGTTGTAAATGTTTTTATTTTTTTTTTAATTATTTAATGAATTATTAATAATAAGTCATTATTAAGTTTTTATATTATTATGGTGGCAAACAAGCATATATCTGTCTGATGGTAAACAATTATTGTATGATCTTTTATACTTTCATTAATTACGCCTAAGACAATTAGACAATTTTTTAGACATTTTTTTTTCATTTTCATTTTACATATTAAGTCCTTTTTGAAGTACCCCATTATCCATGCTGTAGTCTGTAGGAAAAATTTTAATTGACTTTATAAGAAAATTGCTCCAAAATGCCTTTTTCCTCTCATGGTAGTTAGTTTTTCGCTGCAATTAGGTGTATTATAAATGTAAATTGCGGTCATAATATTAGCAGCTTAAAATGTTATGGTTATTATAGATAATTAGTATTATAATAACGTGACGTCCTCAAATTTTAATACACATATATATGAAGGGCATAGCTACAATTATAATGAATACTATGAATACTTTCTGTTGTGTAGTGTGATCCGACCTCCACAACGTGAAGTGACGACCTCAAGTGTTGTTGGAATCGATGAGTGCAAGTGGCGCGGGATTGTACCACGGTGTAAAGAGGAGGGTTCTTGATAATCTGATTGTATTTGTAATGAAATATAATAGAAGTTTTAATAGTTTCAATCTGTTTATAGTTATATATTTTTCAGTCTTATTGAAAAAATAAATGTTCATAACATGACTTTGTATTATCATGTTATTGGTTTCCAGTTTGGATCTACATTTTTACTATTGATAGGTTAAAAAACCGCATGGTACTTGAAAATAGATAATGATGACAGTTAGTGATTAACATACAACTTTAAGAGTATTTTTAGTTAAGATTTAGTATATAAAGAAAGTAAATATGCTCACAAATATAAACCTTAAAAGGGTCAATTTGGTGACTTTGGCGTGTCGTTGTGGTTTAACATGTCCACATTTAGCATCAGAAGTTTACTATAATGAAAAAAAGCATAAAGTTCAAAAATTTATATTTATTTTTATAAATAATAAATTAGTTACTTGTGATTTGGTTCGTGAAATTAATAACAATTAATCAGTCGTTTACCAGCCGTAGCTAGCGCCAAGTGTGCTGTAGGAAACGTGAGAGACGGCGGGGGCGGCAGAGTATGTAACCGCGGATTTGAGTACCGGGGCAGCCGAGTAAGATATAGCGGGTGCGGCAGCGGCATAAGTCACAGCGGGAGCGACGGTCTTAGTGACTAAAGGAGCAGCGGCGTAAGTCGCTACTGCTGGGGCAGCGTAGGTCTTGGCGTAGGCCACAGGAGCAGAGTGAGTAGAGATGGATTGGTAAGAGACCGCTGGAGCAACAGCTTTTGTTACAACTGGAGCTGCGGCATAAGTAGTCACTGCGGGAGCAGCATAAGTTTTAGCAACCACTGGAGCCGCAGCATAGGCTACAGGTGCCGAGTGAGTGGAGATTGACTGGTATGAGACAGCAGGAGCAAGAGTCTTGGCGACTACTGGAGCCGCGGAGTACTGGATAGCAGGGGCAGCCGCAGCGTACGCTACTGGTGCAGAGTGAGTAGAGATCGACTGGTAGGAGACAGCAGGAGCGAGAGTCTTGGCAACAACTGGGGCTGCAGAGTACTGAACAGCAGGCGCGGCCGCAGCGTAGGCCACAGGTGCAGAATGAGTAGAGATCGACTGGTAAGAGACAGCAGGGGCGATTGTCTTGGCGACGACGGGCGCAGCGGCGTATGTAGCGACTGCGGGGGCAGCCGCGTATGTCACAGGGGCTGCGTGTAGGAGGTTGCCGGCGGAGGCGATGCCCGCGGCGCACAGGAAGACTATGACCTGAATAAAAACAATAGAAATCTGGTTATTAAAATATTCGTTGACCTTAAAATAGGAAGAAATCTCTTTGGCATTATGTAGGTGTAAAAAACATAACATAATAATAATAAATATATATATATAAATATGTACCTTGGAGTACATGTTTGTATTGTACGATGGTATTAATGGTAATGATTTTTGAAGCACTTACTTTCGCTTTTATACTGGTACATACAAACTGGTATTAATATTGGGTGCATGCTGGATCGCTCCGAGCGTTGTTTTTCGCTACAATGTCAAGGTGAGGCTCCACCCAGTGTTCAATTAATCTCATGTAATCAATGCTCACAATGTCGGCTATCAATATGTTTTATGGCTCCATTAGGAAATCATTATTGGAAGTATATCAAAAATTAAATTAAATGAAGATTGTGCACAGTTTTAGTTATATGAAGAAAAATTTACGTTTATGAAATTAAACTACTACTATTATTACTATATATTAGTACTGTGATGTACTCATTAAAGTTGAGACTGCAAGTCCCCCCGCTCCTGCCACTCCTCTGGGTGACGTCCGGGCGGGTGGTCGTGTGAGTCGCATTGTGACATATTATTGTTTATTATTTCCTACACCTACCTACCATACCAGGAGGACAGCACAAAATTGGCGACGAGGTGAAAATTTGTAAGTAAAAAAATATATATATATATATGTCATACGACTACAAAATTACCTGTTCTAATCAGTCCAAAGAGTGTGTAACTATCGCGTTGTTATTTTAATGTAACTTGACACGAATAACATTAAACTGGTAAATTTCTAAATTCACAAGGAAGAGAGAAGATAATTTATTAATTCTCAATCAATTTATTAAATATAGAAAAGACTAAAAGCAATTTCAAAAAGAAATAAAGACTTGATTCTATAAATTGTATAGAGAAAGCAAAATATTGATAAAACATATTACGGTGCATAGTACGTTTTGTAATTTAGCGACACACTGTGACTGATTTTAACGCGTTTGCGCATCATAGTCGTACAATAACTTGCTATACATGCCTAAACAAATGGTCGGCGTTTGTTGATGTCTAGGTATATCGTACCGCAAGCTTTCTGTTTATATTTACATCACAGTATAAGTGATTATAACAGTTGAATTCTTAAGATAAGTGGTACGGGGATACCAGCGAATACTGACTATACATACAACAAAATGTGTCTGCATGTATTAGCCGAGTCGGAGTAATTATTCTGACAAATAAAATACACCGTACAATCCGAATGAGCAAAGCCCATCAAATACATAATTCCACATAAACTGTAATCTATTTAGATACAAGAAGTTTATGCAATTGGTGGTTCCGATTATAGAGGTTGCTTCCATAATAAATAGATTTGTATGTAGGTATAAACCTAATACAAATGTAATTATCATAAGATAATTATGATATATTCAAACACTTCACATTAACTTCATTATTTGACAGATATTTGGTAAGAGTTGAGGTTACGATTTTATTTTTCTTACAAGGAACCAGCAGAATATTAGCGTTGCCGGTAGTTCTCTGCTTAATTCTGAGTTGGTTATCCTTTCGCCGTTGGGGCACATATATTTACCTACGTATTTATGTTGGTTTATAAGTTCAAAAGGCTGTGTTTGTAACTGAGAATAATCCATTTATCCACCTGTACAACAAGTACAAGTATTCGCATTTACAATATTGTTGCCTACAATTATAATAGCATACATTATTACGGTAGGTAGGTATAATCATTTAATAAAAAATAAAATAAAAATAGCCTTTATTCCTGAATTACAGATTCTTTTTTTTAAATTGTAAATACTCGTATGTGTAAATAATTAATGTTGACATCAGCAACATCTTATTTTTCAGGTTGTTTTAGAACAACCATTTTAGTATAATCATTTATAAACACAAAATTCTCGAAAAAAATATAATAATAATAACTTATAATATTTCATTTAGATTCAATCCTTGACGGGGTAGTCAGACGCATTTGTTGACTATGATATACGGTTAATATATTTATTAATAATAGTAACATAATTGGTTATTTGTCGATTATCATTAGTTGACAGTATTTATATAAATACGTATAAATAATGTACCACCCATAAAATTCCCGTTTTGCAAATTGTCTTATTATGACATCTCAATTGTCAAATCGTAGAAAAATGCATTTCCTCAGATCTTAAGTTAAAAGATAATTCTACTAAAATAGAAATAAATATTGTGGAAGCAATTCAATAGAGACTGATGAAAGATCAGTAAAAGGACACCAAAGAAACCAAATCTTGTAAAGAGATTTCAAACGAAAAGAATATACGGTGTATGAAATGCGAGAGTACATATCAAAATAGTTATTTAATGTGTTGCAAGAAATAACTTCTGCTAAAAGTGTGGATTTATAAGCCATTTAGGTCAAAAGCAATATCGCACTAATCGAAATAAGTGCATGAATGTGCTAGCGCTAGTTATATGGCGAAATAAATAGTATAAACCAAATAATCCATCAAGTAAAAAATAAATAAAGTTACCAAACAATCATTCAACTCTCCTATAACTACATTCATACTGAATGTTGAACATACTCTATTCCACTATAAAATATCTTGCCAAAATAGTGGAACTAAATGTTAACCAAACTCTATTCCATTATAAAATATCTTGCCAATATAGTGGAACTAAATGTTAACCATACTCTATTCCATTATAAAATATCTTGCCAAAATAGTGGAACTAAATGTTAACCATACTCTATTCCATTATAAAATATCTTGCCAAAATAGTGGAACTAAATGTTAACCATACTCTATTCCATTATAAAATATCTTGCCAAAATTGTGGAACTAAATGTTAACCATACTCTATTCCATTATAAAATATCTTGCCAAAATTGTGGAACTAAATGTTAACCATACTCTATTCCATTATAAAATATCTTGCCAAAATAGTGGAACTAAATGTTAACCATACTCTATTCCATTATAAAATATCTTGCCAAAATTGTGGAACTAAATGTTAACCATACTCTATTCCATTATAAAATATCTTGCCAAAATTGTGGAACTAAATGTTAACCATACTCTATTCCATTATAAAATATCTTGCCAAAATTGTGGAACTAAGTGTAACTCTATTCTATTATAAAATATCTTGTCAAAATGGTGGAACTAAATGTTAACCATCCTCTATTCCACTATAAAATATATATCTTGCCAAAGTGATGGAGTTACATTAAACATACCCATTGATTTGGGTACAAAACTAGTATACCCATAAATTCGGGTACAAAACTAACATACCCATCAATTCGGGTACAAAACTAACATACCCATTAATTCGGGTACAAAAGTAACATACCCATCAATTGGGGTACAAAAGTAACAATAATAATAATAGTCGACAAAACCTAGGACTACTTAAAAAAAAACTAACCAAGAAAAATCTGACAAAATTCTAGGACATATAGTCCTAAAGACTCGCTGATGTACTGGGCCCATTTAAAATGTCAGTCTTGGTTGGATTTGGAAGAAGTAGAGAAAAATTGTACTCGTAGCTTATTGTGTACCTAAGAGACTGCTATGATTCTTTATATATTACAATTAAGTTGTATATTAATTTACTAAACACAAAACAAACAAAAAAAATCCAAAATTCAAATTCAATATCTAAATGAACATCAGTTAGATATTGATCATAAAATCAAGTATTTAGTAAAATAAAATAGTATAGCTCAAATAAACAGAAAATATAATCGAACTTATAGACAAAGCTGCGAATTGAGTTTCTCTAGTCATACTTATTTTAAAGAATAGAAAAAAGGAATATAAATCTGTCTGTCAAGGGAAAAGTCCTAAACAAAAAATGTGCATGCTAATCTTGGTAAAAAACATGTTACAATTACTACATAATTAAAATACCTAATATGTATTTACTGCACACACACAACAAGATAAATTTATTTGTTTATGCAAATAAATTTATCTTTATCTAAACCTGGCTTAAAAGATGCTTTTTATCAAATTGAGATTAGAGAGAATGTACTTAACTTTTTATAACAAGCAAGTGGTTATTTCGTTTCGATTACGAACCTACTACAATAAATAATTAAAACTCTGTTTATTTAAATCTCTGTTTAAAGTGACTAAATATTATATTATTTAGTCTGTGTAACAATGGTACTTGTAATTTAACTTGTCAAAATCTATAAATTATATAAATATAATTTATTACTTTAAGTATCTTTATTTTTAATAACAGAGACTTACTTTAGTTTAAATATAAACAAATATTGGTCACGGTTTTGTAGCAAGACATGAAAACCACCAACTAATAGGTATATTAATATACACATGAATGTTTTAAATGTAACAATTGGAAATAATCCCAAATAAAGGAAATGAATAAGACACCTAAACATGTATTGAATATCTTACACAAGATTAACTGTTTGTTAATATTTTAATTTCGAACAAATGATGTAAGGCTAAAACATGTCCTATATCTATTTAAATTCGCGATTCACAACGCGAAAGTTTAAAAATGTGTTCAACGTATTTTAACTTTGTAAGGCAAAATAATATACCTACATATCCGTACACGTAGGTTACAAATAATGTATTAATAAAGGATTTATGTTCATGTTTAATCAATCGTAAGTAGAATTTTTAGGGCATGAGCTAATCTCAGAAAGTATTACTTGTAAGTCCCTAAAGACTATAGAATCACTTAGAAAACCAATTGTTTTTGGAAAATTTTAAAGTTATAAAACTAGTAACCTATTTTGAGAAATAAATATGATAATGTGTTATAATATTATTTAGATTTTATGTGTAAATATTTTAGAGATATGTATACAACTCTATATTATCAATATCTTAAATTACAAGTTGTTCACAGTCACACTTATCTATCTTTATCAATTTATTGGTACACAATAAAAGAAAATGGACTCAAAATTTGGCTACAATGATTGAACAAATACATAAAATGTTAAGGCGTAAGCTCGCTAAATATACTGTGTTCAGAGTTCTGGAAAGAAAAGTAAACATTTACAGTAATTCGTAATTTCCAAGCAAAAAGAGTTAGTAAATTGTGGATACTAAGTTTTATAAGCCATGCACGTAGTAGTTAGATGCTCCCAGGAAAACTGAACCTTAAAGTCAATCATTACAAACTCTTTAAATACGAATTCTGAGTCCTTTATTAATGGTTTTCTATTTTTATTTCATTTGAGATAGCGTAAACGAGCATTCGCTACGACTCAGGATAATTATTCTGGCACCCCGGCACTGTTGCCGTAAACAGTAGATTATGTATCAAGGTACAAAGGATTGATATCAGTTTTGGTACATATAATAGATGTCGTAATCAATGTTCATGAAGAAATAAAATTTTGTCTACATTACATCTGATCTAAAACAATATATTATGTAACATTCCTAAAATTAATCGATGTCTAAACTATAATAAATGTGACATACTTATGTAAATATTGAGATTATAAATAGTAACGTCTCTAATATTGTCAGTATATGTATTGTAGGAATTATTAATTGGAATTCTGATATACTTAGTATAAGACCATAAATCTTCTTAAAAGTACATAAGTAAAAGAAATTTTACAAGACTTGACACTTTATTCAGCACAACATTGGATAACTGCTTAGAATTTGGTATTAAACTATACTATTCGACACCATATTGACCGCAGTAGAACGAAGCAAGTAGAATACAAAAATGTGACATTATAATACGTGTACAAATAAATTAAAACCCAAAATCTGACTGGAGGGATAAACTCCTGCTATACCTCATAAGTTACAATATCATGCCACATTATTGATTTGTCATTAGAGATAAAATATCTTCTATTGTAAATGCTAAGAATAATGAGATTTATTTAGAATGGTAGAGACAAATCAATAAAAGAACATTTTAAAATTGGAAGGGAAAGATATAGTGACATAGATATTGAAAATAGGAGAAAGTGTATTCGGAATATAATTAAAGAAAATATATATGCGATACTTCAATCCCTGTATACATATACTTATTGGCGCTATATCTATAAGAAAATATGGTACTAGACAAGAATTGAGATGAAATATACACAATAATATACTTAAGAAGATGGAAGATCAGTAAGAAATTATAAGGATGATGAAAAGAAAGATCTCGATGGACTTCGAGAGGAAATAGTCATATAGTTATTTTTATACAAACCAGTCTTATTATATTTAGTTGCCTAAGTTATATTTTGTAACATAATATATATGGTAATATCATGATATTATTTTAGTTACCTATGATTGTAATGTAAAACTATATTGTTGTAGTTGTATCTATATGAAATTTGTGAGTAATTGTATCCTTTCACATTTTGTTGTAAATTCAACTTTGTTTGAAAAAAGCAACAGCTAAGTTTCTTGCCCGTTCTTCTTAGCTGAAATTGCATTCCGAATGGGCGGTAGATTTATAAAAAAAATGACTATTCAAAAATGCTTAAAAAATAATAATTAAGTTTCCTAGAGTAAAAATATTCATATTCTATTATTAATTTAAAATATTTTGAAAAGGGAGAGATGTGATGTACTCATTAAAGTTGAGACTGCAAGTCCCCCCGCTCCTGCCACTCCTCTGGGTGACGTCCGGGCGGGTGGTCGTGTGAGTCGCATTGTGACATATTATTGTTTATTATTTCCTACACCTACCTACCATACCAGGAGGACAGCACAAGTACTATCCATTATACATTCACATATGGTATTAGTAACGACAGTATTAAACAAAAAATAATATAAGTAAATTAGATAAATAAGCGGAAAATAACATTTGACCCAATAAAATGTTAAATAAAAAAAATATTGGTTTACGTTAAATCCTACTTCATTTGTATTATTTATTAATAGAGAGTATTTGTTCATCAAATTTTATGAAGGTGTAGCCGTTATAGAAAATTCTTTAAATTCATTTTAAAATGTTTTATTCGTGGGATAACGACTTCCAAAGTGCCAAAAAGTTCTTTTTAACAATATTAGTTTTGGGTATTTTTTGTACTTTTCGTTCTAATATAGCGCGTCAAGCAATCAAGAATGAGTAGCTTTTGGAGTAGCTTTAAATTTATTGATTTTTCTAGATTTATATTTCTTTGGATAACCTAATTATTATTTAATTTATTGTCTCTTTTGATGTCAATTTAGATTTTAGTCTGTATCAATCATTCGCAGCTACAAACTTAAAACATATAGCTTTAGAAATCCTGTTAATGCATTCAGATATATTTAAAGTGCAAGAGTGTAATTAAATTGACTTACCTGTGTTTTAGTTGAGAATGTTCTACTAGTTTCGGGATCCTTAACCTATTATTAAAATTCTACCTGCAAAAACCTACAATTGATTGTTTTTTTTTCTTTTTATCGCATTCTCTGGTATTTTATAGTTTTCTTGTTTGAATGTTAATTTTCATGGCCAAACATGCACCGTCAGAGGAAAAGGATTATTGACAATGGGGCCTAACAGCCCCATTACTAACAATATAATATGTATAATAAACGTCAAATATATATGATAAACGTCGATAATATCAGATCAATATCCATGCGGCTCCTCCTGGAAACTATCGTGATTAATTTTTATGGAATTCGTCACGATGGGCTAACTAATCTGCTTTTGTCCTCATCTATCATCTTTCATTGGTGCCCCGACGGAGTATATCAATAGTGCAGGCGGATTTACTATTACATTTTCACACATAAATAAGAACGCGCCATCATTTTAATTTGAAAGCAATTTTTTTTATATAACTTAGAATGGCAAACAAGCTGACGGAAAGTGATGGTAAGTGATAACCGTCGCCTATAGACATGAGCTACTGCTTAGTACCATGGACATAACAGAGATAACAAAAAGAGGATGTATAAATGAAATGCCGTGCAGTCCCGGCACAGAATGGACCCTCCCTTCCTTTCCGGTGAATGTCTCAAGAGGCGACTAAGGAAATTTAATGATAGAGGGATAGGCCGCAGCGCTCCTCTTCAAACTTTACCAAATCCTAACGGCGGTTGCTTGTCAAGCACGCATAGATAAAAGTTTCATACAGTTGATGTTTTAGATTTAATTATAAATGTAAGAGAGCTCATCGTTTATTGTGTATTGTATTACCAACTATCATTTGCCTAAACAGATTGTATACTTAAATATACTAATGAATAAATAAATTGTTTTTGACTTTTAAATTAAAAAAGATGAATGTTTCCAAATTGTTTCCAAAAATGTTTCCAATAATGTACACAATGTCGCTAATTTGACCCTATTTTCATAAGTATATTTGTAATCGATAAGTTTTACTCCAGTGTTATATTAATTTTGTGATGATTGAATTAGCTCTTTTCTTTATGAAGCAAACATCTTATTTTCACTTGTTAATATACAAGTCTATTTTGTGAATAAAAATATTTTCAACATAATGTATTTATGAAAAATTTTAAATTGTATAAAACTATATCTAGTCGTCTCACCTATATTTGAGTGTTCATAACTGGGTTTTTTTTGAGAATAAAATGCACTTATTTTAATATTTCAGAAAGTTTAAATTAAGTTTGTTTTTTCAGTGTGTCAAATGAATATAACATTAGTTACACTGTGTAAAATATCATTTGGCAATGGGCATGGATTAGACTTTTGTTATTTTTTTATGCAACTTAGAATGGCACAAAAACAATGTTTGACGGCCTACCTGATGGAAAGTGGTAACCGTCGCCTATAGACCTGAGTAGTATCATGGACATAACAGAGTATACTGTTTCGCCCATGATACCCCCCCATGCGTTGCCATTCCTGAGGGCTAAGATGTTATTCCTCTATACCCTGTTAATTCACTGCCATATTCCATCCTTCAAACACAACACAGCTATGCGCACACAACTGCTTCATGGTAGAAATACGAATAGAACAGAGATACTCAAACAAACGACTTTTGTACAAAGTCTCCATTCTGGTAAAAATACACGTATAAAAGTAAACTAAAAAGAAATGACTTAAAACTATGATCCCTTGTTTATTTAATATTGTCATTCAATGTATTTACATGAAAGACAAAATTGAGTATATTTCTTTAGGAACATAATATTATTTAAAATTTTCGATGTGTTTCAAATTCGAATGAAATTTGAATGAAACAGATAACAGAATAAGTAATAGCTAATTGTGATATTTTAATTAACCAATAAGTATTATAATTTTGATACAAGATACATGAACTCTTTAAAGGTTATAAGAAAATAAAAAAAAAATCAATCATGTTACTTCTAGGCTGATTGACTTATAGTTCGATTTCGAAAATTTTGATCTTTACATATATATCCGTAAATATATTCCATTCAGAAATCTATATACATTAAAATTTTTGTCTTAGAAATTATTCTAAGGCTGCTGTATATTCCATCAAACGGTCAACAGTAACCACCCAATTACAAAATTACCTTAAATATTAAAATAGATAGAGGGTATGATGTATTAAAATCACTTTTACATATTTATTTAATTTATTTACATTTTATACATAAATTAAATTATTTCGTTTGGTATCAATAAGTTAATATAAACAATTCCTCAGTTTACCAACCGTAGCTAGCTCCTATTCCAGAGTATGATACGTGAGATACAGCGGGGGCGGCAGAGTATGTGACCGCGGATTTGAGTACAGGGGCAGCTGCGTAAGAAACGGCGGGCGCGGCAGCAGCATAAGAGAGGGCGGGTGCAGCAGCTGCGTAAGTTACAGCGGGAGCGATGCTCTTAGTGACTACGGGAGCAGCGGCATAAGTGGCCAATGCTGGAGCGGCGTAGGTCTTGGCGTAGGCCAGAGGAGCAGAGTGAGTGGAGATGGATTGGTAGGACACCGCTGGGGCAACGGCTTTTGCTACAAATGGAGCAGCAGCATATGTAGTCACTGCGGGAGCAGCATAGGTTTTGGCAACCACTGGAGCCGCAGCGTAGGCTACAGGTGCAGAGTGAGTAGAGATCGTTTGGTATGAGACAGCAGGGGCGACAGCTTTGGTAATAACTGGAGCCGCAGAGTACTGCAGAGCGGGTGCGGCCGCAGCGTACGCAACTGGTGCAGAGTGAGTAGAGATCGACTGGTAGGAGACAGCAGGGGCAGCTGCGTATGCCGCAGGGGCAGCTGCATATGCTGCAGGGGCAGCTGCGTATGTCAGAGGGGCTGCGTGAAGGAGGTTGCCGGCGGAAGCGATGCCCGCAGCGCACAGGAAGACTACGATCTATAAAGAAATACATATATTTAAAATTAAATATGATCACGAATAATTATTTCAAATCATTGAATGGTAACTTTTTTTTCTGTACCTTGGAGTACATGTTTGTATTGTACGTTGGTGTAGTTTGTAATAATTTTTGTAGCACTTGCTTTCGCTTTTATATGAGTACGCTCAAACTGGTATTGATATTAAGTTTGCGTGTCGATCACCGTGGGCGTTTTGGTTGCAATGTCAAGGTGAGGTACCACCTTCGATAAATAGTCAATTGTGTAATTGGTATATACACATGAAGCTGTCATTAATGTAAACCATAAGGAAATCCTTCTCGGAAGTAATATTATGGACTGGAATTTGTGTTTTTCATTTATTATTGTCGACATGTTACTTATAAGGTAGGTATGTTATTTGTATGATGGTAAGTATTAGTATTTTAGAATGATAAACAAGTAGTCTATCGTCGTCTATAGATATACATGATATAGATGTTCATGGTACATGAAGTGTAATGTTATTTATTTTGTAATTTCAGTATGTAATAGAATAATTATTAAAGTATTCTTTCATCCAAAAGCGTCCAATTAAAAAAAAAAAAAGATATCCAATTATGCCTTTCATTTATAGCAGAGAGTTAATAGACTTTCTACAAAATATTGCCTTCAATTTATCTTCAATTGTAAATTATTCCATAGTGTGCCATATATTTTTTCTTTATATGGGTATCACTATTATTTATTCTGTGATATGGGGTCAGATTACCAGCTGTCGCATTTCGACCCAAAGAGAGAGATCTTTTATACATTCCTCATAAACTCCTACCTTACAAATTTTGATTATATATATGTGCATGTATTTAAGGTATATCTGCATACATCGAGTATATATTTTTTATATTGAAACAACACAGCATTTTAAGTTTTAAGAAAAGAGTTTCATAGTACATACGTACATATCTGTCACGCCTGTCTCCCATTAGGGTAGGCAGAAACAATGAAACGCTAAATGCTTCGATTCAAACAAACCTCTTTCGCTTCTTCCACATTCATCAATCTTTTCATACACGCTCGCCGGTTACGGGTACTTTTAATTTGGCCCTTCTTCAGCACGTCGCCTATTTGGTCGACATACGTCCGTCTAGGCCCTACTGACATCTCCATTCATTCTTACTCGATAAATCTCTTTCGTAATTCTTCTTTCATCCATCCTCTCCAAATGACCAAACCAACGCAACATTCCTTTTTCGATTTTCGATTGACTACATCGTCTTTCAATATTACAATATCTAATTATCGTATAAATGAGGTTATTGACATAAGAGTTGGTTAAGCCAATTAAGAAAATTACTTTTTTTAACTGTTTTCTTTGTCTAGCATGTATAAAAGACTTAGACTATATGAATCTGGTAATTAATGTGACTTACTGATACAAAATAGTGCTGAGTAATTATCTTAATGGAATTATAGGGTCCTAAATTCTTTTTCTTATGCAACTTAGAATGGCAAATAAGCTGACGGCCCACCTGATTGAAAGTGGTAACCGTCGTCAATAGACATGTACATAATAGAGTATACTGTTTCGCCCATGATACCCCCATGCGTTGCCATTCCTGAGGACTCAGGTGTTATTCCTCTGTATCCTGTAAATTCACTGCCATATCCCACCCTTCAAACCGAAACATAGCCATGTAAACACAACTGCTTCACGATAAAAACACGAATGGGTCAGAGGTACCCAAGCAAACGACTTTTGTACAAAATCTCCCTCTGGTAAATAACATTTGATAATTTCTTTATTACTTGTGTGAGGTTATTACCCTCTGGTGTCAAAGAGTTATTGGATCGCCTTTATTACACGGAGACCTGATGGAAAGTGGTAACCATCGCCTATAGACATGAACAGTATCATGGAAATAACAGAATATACTGTTTCGCCCATGATACCCTCCATGCGTATTACAGACATGAGTGAAGATTGAATACAATTATTGTAATCTAGGATTACTCGCAGTATCTGTAACCAGAATTCACAGAAGAACTTGTCTCAAGAACTTTTCTTTTTGCTGAATGAATCTGTCATATAGGTCGACTTATTATCATTATAGTTTATTGAGTTTTTGATGTTATATTACTCAATTCGGTTTTACTCTGAGCATTCTAATTTAAAAGGCTTTAAGTCATTATTTCAATAAAAATAAAAATTGCTTTTTAGTATAAAAACACATACGATTTATTCAATCTATAACATCTAGAATACCCGTTTCACAATATTAAATTTACCAATAGTTGTTGCCATGACCATAACCACCATAACCAGCGGAGGCGTATCCAAGAGAAGCAGGAGCGTGGACACGGTATTGCGAGATGGTTGACACGGCTGGTGCATAGGAATTGGCGTAACTGACTGATGGGTAAGAATGAGCGTAATTCAGGGCCGGAGCGGCGATATTTTTAGTAACAGATACGTGGGACACCGCAGATCCACCAGCTCCGTATCCGCCATATCCACCATAACTGCCATGTCCAGCATATCCGCCATATCCGCTGTATCCGCCATATCCGCTGGATCCGCCATATCCGCTATATCCGCCATAACCGTTGTGTCCGCCATAACCGCCGTAACCGCCATATCCAGCATATCCGCTATATCCTGCGTTCAGTAAGGCTCCGGCACGAGCCATAGCGACAAGGCATGCAATGACGGCGATCTGAAAGTTGCATTTGGAAAGTAATTATAGACATAGCTTTATCCATATAGGATTTATAGATATTTATGTCTAATTCATATTTGAATTAAATTTGTTATACAGTGTTAAAGTACCAGTTATGTCTTTAAAGTAAAATACAATAAAGTGAAATGCATCACTTATAGTTTAAATTCAAGTTTATTTTTATTCTCCAAATAAGTAAAGTACGACGTAACTGTCAATATTTCTAAATTTGAGAAATTATAAACAATTCCAAAGTAGCTTATTAGTAACATATACCTTTAGGAATGTGTAATTAAAATTTATTGTTATATCAGTATATTTTAATAAAATTGTAAACTTACCTTAGCGAACATTTTTGGTGGTTGTTTATTACTCTTCACTGGTGATGAGTACAATGTCTTTGTACGTATTGTTATATGCTTTTATATTAAAATCTTAGGAAATGAGCACCATATTTCAAGGTTCAATTATCATAAATTTGGAAAACGGAGCGTGACGACTTTTAATTAATCATACTTACGGTTGGTACATACTCGTATACGAGTTAGTATTATTATTTACATTCATGATATTTAATTGCCTTACATATATTACACTTTTGAGATGTAAAAGGCAACAAAAGTAAATATTAATCATAACGGTAATTTCAACAATTTAATAAGTCAGAGTTGTTAAGTGTTTACTTTTATTCTAAGACAATTTATGTAATATGTAATAGTTTGGGGACCATCTTAAAGTATTGAAATACTAACTAGGAAACAGGAAGCCAAAGCCGAAACATCCATATTTTTATATGCCAGTAGTATAAATGACAGCTTTGTCAACTGTCATTAGTACGATGACAATTGAAAGGTTATTGATTATTATTATCGATGTTTTGCAATTGTTATCGCAGCATTTTGTAGTAGACAAAGTTTTAGATTGTCTTATTGTTAAAGTTTTGAAAGGGAAATTCTGATCCCTTTAAAAGAGTATACGAAATATATTAAGAACTTATTAACTTATTATATTAACTTATAATATTAAGAACCGGCTGTTTTGTGTAGTTTTATCCTTGTGAATTCTATGTGTTAAGTTAGGGTGTACCTTACTCTCATACCAAATTTCATTCAAATCCGTTGAGCCGTTTAAGCGTGATTGAGTAACAAACATACAAACATCATTACAAACTTTCACATTTATAATATTATAGTAGGATTATGTTCTTAGCGATACAAAAACTGAAAATGTACTAGCCGCTATATATAAATATAATTATGAGTTATATATAACTTATTGTTTATGATCATTAAATTTAATATTATATATGATTATCATATATTGTTAATAAGATGTCTAAATTAAATATTGTTATCCAGAGAGTAATCTTGCTAATATACACTTAGTCTTGATGTGGTACGTTCGTCGACTTTAAGATTAATAAATATATATATAAATAAAGAAATATCTTCTTTAATTTTATCTTTTTTAATTCTATCCTCTTTAATTTTATTCAAGTTTAATGTTTTTTAAAATATAATTAGATAGACATAGATATATTATGCGTCACTTAAATTTCTCATTAAGGTAGGCAGAAACAATAGAATGTCAAATGCTGCAATTCTTACAGATCTTTATCGCTTGTTTCACATTCATCAATCCATTTATGCAAGTTCTCCCGTATTTTTATCAAAGGGTTATAATCGAGTAGTAGCCCCACCTCCATGTACCCTGCTAGTAGGGTATTAGTAGTGATGAAAGGTAAGGACGAAGTTATGTCAGTTGGGCCATTGTGATGAATTCAACAAGAATTAACCACGATGATTTCTAGGGGGATTTCGTGAAGCTCAGCTTGATAACTATTATATATATATATATATATATATATATATATATATATATATATATATATATATATATATATATATATATATTTATTTTTATTTTTTATTTATTTAACAAAGTATGTTTGTATTAGCACAGAATTTATCATTGCTTCCTACACTAGGCTGAGCCTGTCCTGTAGGAAGCAGGCAGCAGCAACACATAAAATATATATATATATATATATATATATATATATATATATATATATATATATATAAACTCATATTAATATTTACAATTTATACGAGTAGTATAATATTTAAATAATAATAGAAGTAAAATGTAGTTAATAATTATTAAAATCGTTATTATTAAACGACTTCGCATATTTTTAAGTGAACGCTATAATACATTGTCGCCTTTACCAGACAATACCTCTCACTTTGCGGGATAAAGCATGACGTTAAAAATATATTCACAAGTGAAATATTAACAATTATTTAAGAAATAAAAATATTTCAAATTTTATTTATTTTATCATTACCAATAACCTTGATCAAGCCACCTCATCCTTCAATATAATGTAGTCACAGAAGCGTCTAACTATTGTTTGAAGAAAATTCTACCAATAGTAAGAGTACCTATATGAGTAGTATGATCAATTTTCAACTTAAAGGCCAAATTTAACATTTTTCATTAATGACACGCTCAAATAAAGCAATCAGATTGAATCAATTAAATATATCAAGTTAAAGAGATTAGAATTTTACTTTGTAAAAGTATAGCGATTTCAATCGTAAGAATAATAATAAAAAATAATACTCTAATCAACGTGAAAGTATTATTTATTGAAAACGAGGTATTTTAATGAGAGTACTATTGATTGAAAACAAAACTATCAAAATTAGTTAGGTGTTGTCATTGATATCGCGTAACGTTCACATAAAAAAATACGATTGAATTGAGTGCCTTTCTGGTTTCGCGTAATAAAAAAATCTTATTGTCAATGAACTGTCACTGTTGTTTACAATACCGAGAAACGATATAATAAAAATGTAGCACTAAATAATTCATTCCCAATTCTTTTCTTCCCTATTTTTATCCTTATTTCCTGTTTTATCTTGATGTTGGTCTGATTGTTTAATCAAGGGCAAGGTCATTGCCTTGAACTTTCGTAGTTCGTCTTTGGAATTACGAATATTCTTGTAAACAAAACGATCAATGTAATATATATATGGATAATATATATATATGCCAGATTGATGGGTTAAATAGGCTACGATATCGATCTCTAAAGATAGACGACGCCAATGTGGAAGACTACGACGACTTTGAAGGTTTTATAATGTATCGTAAACTTTGACTTGGGATAAAGATATCTGGCAAGATAGGTCTTTGTTCAGCAGTAACACACTTTAAAAAAACAGGCTATTGAGAATATTGATAATATGGTAACCTATATTAAGGATATATAATGCAATGTATATAGAATGATACAGATTGTGGCCATGTGGTCTCGGTATGGAAAAGGCCACCGCTTCCTTTCTTGTATGTGTCGTAAGAGCTAGAGAAGAACTCGACTAAGGAAGGGCAAGGGATGGGCAGTGTTCCTCTTTAGACATCACCAAAGGCCTAACTACGGTTGCCGATCCACCTGCTAAGCGTGGCAACTACTAACAACCTCCCCCTCCCCAATTATGGGGAAGCCTATGTTCACCAATAATAATAATTGACAGCAGTGCACAATTAATGGCTGATATGGTATGGTACATATCAGCGAATAAATTAAAATTGTTAATAATAAAAAAATTAAATTAAATAAAAGATATTATTCAAAAGATTTTATTTTACGCACAAATATTTAGAAAGAGAAATCCATTGTATCATGCATTGTTAACAAGAAGGTTTTACAAATAAATAATAGAAGAACCAAATCAATTAACACAGTTATTTACCAGCCGAATCTACCGTAACCGCCGAGGCCGTATCCGCCGTATCCGGTAATCCCGGCGTAATTCGCAAGAGGGTTATAGGCACCGGCGGCTACGACAGGGGCCCCGTAAGCACCGTATCCACCATAGCCTAAAGAGCCATAACCATAACCGAGGTTGGTGCCAATATAGGCAGCCTGAGCTACGACGAAGAAGCAGAGGACGGCAACAATCTGGAAAAAAGAAATAGGTGTATAAAAATATTCGATCGCTGTGTGTAATGTAATTTCAAAGTTTGAGCTTACTTCTTTGTATTAGATATTTAATTTTAACATTGTAAAATGATTTACTTATCAATATACAATTTTTTTTCTCTTTTAATAGTTTCAGTACTAAATAAAAAAATAAGATTCTCAAGTCTTTTAAGAGACCATCTTTATCTAGATTTTTCAGTTCTCAGATAGATACATAGATGTGTGGAGTTGGTACGTCGGCGAAAATCGCGCGGCAAAGATGAGGTGTAATGAAACAGCGAAGTGTTGGTATTCAAGCACTATTGATATTATACTAATGATATATTATATACCACCACACCATACATGCATGACATATAAGGGTACAAATATCAATCCAACCGATTACAATAATATTCCCTCAGCGTACATATAATACGAGTAGCATCAATGTTTTTTTTCTCTCTCTGTCAAATCACCTGTTAAAAAGACAGGGTTGCCACAGATACATTTTAAAAACGTATTTATTATCTAATACTATCCTAATTGTACTTCTAATAAGGGATGAAAAACGATAAGATTAGGAATCATATGAATTGTTTGTACTATTACTATGATATTTCTATCTATACTTTTTTTTGGGAACCCGAATTAATCTTTATTTTGTTCGAATTATGAAACTGGATGAAGCAAGATGATGACGGAGCATAGGGATTGTGGTTTTATCTAAACTTTTTTAATTTTTTTTTATATAATAACATGATGTGTGATCATCCTGAGCGAACACAGGGATAACATGGTCTATGAATGCAATCGACCGAAAGAATATTCTATTTTCAACGATTTATCGTACTATCTTTGCTCATTAAGGGTTTTTTTTTCACACTACGTTAGAAGAAAATGACTAAGTAGCAAATGAATTTATGGATGGATACGTGATCGCACGCTTGTGACATACGAAGAGACAGTAACGTAAGGCATCTTATTCTTTCCTGACGGAAACTTACTGGTATCTATCGTGAGGTCTATTTGCTACCTGTCTAGAGGGGGCTATTATAGGAGTTGTAGTAAATTGCTAATTTTGTTTTTAGAACCATTTCCAACAACATTGCAAAATATTTACATGAGGAATTTTTATAACTGCCATTACTGCCAAGAATTGCTTAATTATTATTTTGCAAAGTTATTACTTTAAAACTTACCTTGGCGATCATGTTGTTAGTTGTTGTTTTGAGGTGTTTCTACAAGAAGAATGATTATTGTTGTAAAAATATCTGTTTATATATGTATTTACGTATGTATGTTAGACTACTTATTTACGTACACTAATCCAGGAAACTGGATTTATTCTCAAGGTTTCAGGTTTAATTTATTAATAATAACAATATTCAAGAGGTTTTTGTAATTAATACGTTTCCTTAAACACATAATTATATAATTTAATGGCACATAATTAATAAATATTTTTTTTTGTCATCGAGGGAAAAGTAATTAATTACTTTGGTATTGTTCTTTTTATGTACTAATAAAAAACTTTTTAATGAAAATATAATCTTAATTTTAATATATGCCTAATCTGTAAATCATTAAACTTAAATATATACAAACATTACTTGTTTAATAGAAGTGAATATATATATTTTTTGGATTATTATAAGTGATAGCAACGTTTTAAATAAGGTATAGATAGGTTTTTATGTATTAAAAATGATTTAGAGAAGTAAATAAGTAATTTTGTGTGATAAATGACTCAATAGAGTAAAAATTCAGACGTCTTTATTGTTATATTTTCTTCTTGAGCCATTACCGTAACTTAGCCTTTGTCAAGTAAATATTTTTTTATAACTAGTTAAATTATGACATCGCCAGGTGGCCTATATTCATTTCAATAATGAGACCCTAAAATTAACATAACTTAAAAATACGGTTAAAAGAGTTTTGTAAATTTATTGACAGGAACATGTTATTGAGAGTCATTTAGATCTAATCTAATCATTATTATCTAATAATCCAATAATAATAACAAATTAAACTTGTTTCAAATTAAAGGCATATTAACATAGATATACGTTTAAATAGATATCGCAACTGCGTACTCTTTGCGTGAAAATTTTTGTTTATAAAATAGGCTCAAAAGATGGATCTGTTCACATTAACACTAGATATCGATCTGGAGTACCTACATGAAAATCAGAGTAATAAACTATTACTGTTATTTGAATTATTTAAAAACAATATTTGTTTTTAGAAAGATTTCGTGTAGGACAGATTTGATTTTAAAGGCCTGTGTTTTGATAAATAAAAGAAAGAGTTGGCAAAACTGTTACAATTAATACTAAAATATTTCTTTAAGAATTAACGTTTTTTTTATAAATATATATTATATGTCATATATATTTATTTACAATTTGACATTTTATTATTCGCCGTTAATATATATGACATATAATTATCAATTTGATTTTAATTATATATATTTTATTAATATTGTACAATTAAACTCGTCATGGTTTATATGGATTTCTAATTTAATTTTCTTTTTCATATAACCAATTTTTAATTTAAGAAATGGGCATCAATTTATTTATTTATTCTTTATTGCACAATAAAATTTTATACAAGTGGCAAGCTTAATACTATATGACATTCTCTACCAGTAAACCATTAGATAAAAACAGAAAATGTATAAAGGGCATATGTGGTAAAAAATTTGTGGCATAATTATAGTAACATACTGAAATAAATATACATAAAAACTATGGTAAATATTATAAGATATATATATCTTTTTTATTCAACTTAGAATGGCAAACAAGCTGACGGCCCACCTGACGGAATGTGGTAACCGTCGCCTATAGACATGAGCAGTACCGTGGACATAACAGAGTATACTGTTTCGCCCATGGTACTCCCCATGCGTTGCCATTCCTGAGAACTCAGATGTTATTCCTCTGTACCCAGTAAATTCACATATATATTTAATATTGTATGAATAATTTATTATTGTATTAGATATACATCTTGTACATCCATTCATGGTAGGCCACTCCTTCCTTTCCCGTGGGTGTCGTAAGAGGCAACTAAGGGAAGGCAAAGGATCGGTAGCAGCGTCCCTCTTAAAACATCTGAAAAGCCTAACAGCGGTTGCCAATCCGCCTATCAAGCGTAGAAGCTACTGGCAAACCCCCCAAGTCTTAAGTTCAGCAGTAGACGATTTAAGGCTGATATGATGATAAGTATTCTAAATGTGAAAGTTTGTAAGGAGTAATGGATGGATCGATAGAAGGATAGATGTTTGTTGCTCTTTTACGCAAAAATTACCAAATTTGAATGAAATTTAGTACACAAATAGGCCCAACGTACTTTATGTACTAATTTACGCCGGTTATAGCTAGTCTATTTTACGATATCTAATTCATGTCTAGACCCATGTTTCTGCAAATAAATTATAGATTGATTGTTTGATCATGGGAAGTAATTAAATTGTGTTTAATTTTCGTACAAACTGAACTCGTTTATTTCTATCTATATCAGTGTGTAATAAACATCCAAATTTCAATTTAAAATTTTATCCCTTTGCAATATATAATAAAACATAGCTCCTTATAGTAGAAATCTCATGTAGTACCGTTAATTATACATGAATAATATACTCGTATTATAAAAGTACGCAATTTAAAAAACGAATTCTCGCAATTGATATATGGTTTTATCATTTACATTGCGTATGTCCATTTATCAGAATGTAATAAATATATCTTTATATGCGAATCATTTCTACATAAAATCTAGTCTAAAATTGTAATTATACGAAGATTCATATATAGTATATATTCCTTTGGTATCAAATACTTTTAAGATAAGGCTAGATGGAAACATTAATTTAATAAGCTCCCTACAGGATACTATTCTTTCAAGAATCTGGCTTTATGGTATAGAAACAAAGAATTTTATTAAATTCTTTCGTTCCTATAATTTTAATATTCATTACGTTTGTATTTGTTTAATGTAAAATATGTCTTCAAAGAAAAATGTTAAGCTTATGAAAAACATTTAATTACGTTTGAATTACCTAAAATAATCAGATAACTAATTAAAGTATTTTAATAGCCCAGTACTAGATATAGCGTACCCAACCTTTATAAGGAATGATACCGAATGCCATATGTTCTATATGATGTTAAAAATCAATGTATAAAATTGTTGTTTTATTGTTAAAAGTTTTATAAGTACACATTATATTTTAATGTAACAACTACCGGTTTAGGTTTAGGAATGGTAACATATGTAGGATATGATGGGTGAAACAGTATACTTGGTAATGCTTATCTCTATAGTCGATTGGTACCTCTTTATATAAGTTCGACCGTCATATTGTTTGCCATTCTAAGTTGCATAAAATAACTTAGCTTCTTATTCATATAAAGTAAAACTTTTTACAAATATATTATAACTATTACACTGTTTTGTAATTTTTTTCAAATATGAAATTTAGTGTAAAAGTGAATGAGATAAAACAGTTCAATAGCTACAATAGATTTATGTGAGGTTTACTGAGAGGGGTTCCTGTTTACTATTTAGCATATTTTTGGAAAAATACTTGTAAAATAAATTAACTTTGGCTTTCACAATATGTCGATAATATTCTAAAACAAGTAAGACTTGTTTCACATTCTAATAAGTATAATTTAAAGTCTATTGTGTGCATATGTCTAGGTTCCTAAAGAGAGTTAAGTGTTTAAAAATTACTTTATCTCTTTTTACAGATTATTGATAGGTACCTATTTATTGTATATATATATATATATATATATATATATATATATATATATATATATATATATATATAGGATACTTAATATTATAATAATAAAGAAAACAAAAGAAACACTATTAAAAAACATACTTTATTTTACACACAAAACGGATCATGAATGGACATAATTAATGATTGAAAATCAAACATTTTTTATGGTTATAAGTAGAAGGATCTAAATACTTATTATTTACTTTGTTATTCACCAGCCCAATCTACCATATCCATAACCACCGAGGCCGTATGCACCGTACCCGGTAACCCCGGCATAAGCCGCTGCAGGACTGTAACCGAGAGACCCGGCGGCAACGAGAGGGGCCCCGTAAGCTCCGTATCCGCCATAGCCGAGAGTGCCATAGCCGACTGCGCCATAACCTAGACCATTATATCCGAGGTTGGAGCCGATGTAGCCAGCGTGAGCCAGGCCGATGAAGCAGAGGACGGCAACAATCTGGATAATGTAAAAAACATATAAATTAATATACAATGGTCATTGCGTATGTTCTGTGATATCTATATTGTTATGTTTATGGGTAATTATTACCATTTCCTTTCATATGGACTCTTAGTCTGCTTGCTATCTTAAAATATTATAAAAATATTTAGAATCAGATATTGAATGTACGTAATTAGTAAAAGGCTTGTATCTTTATTTGTTACTTTCATAATAAGTTTGTTCCTTAATAAACCGGTCTAGTATTTATCAATACAACTTTATTGTGGAAGAGTACATATGTTTTTCAAATTTACAATATGCATACAAAGTTCCAAAAGGGTCGACAATTACCACTATTATTAACAGATAATGATTATTTGATTTAAGGGAAATTGTATTAATTTATTTGGAATTATATTTCTATAAAAATATTTCAGAATTCTTACCTTAGCGAACATGTTGTAGGTAGTTTTTTGCTTTGTTTCTACGAGTAGAATAATTTTTGCAGTGAAAATGTCTGTATATATACATATCATGTAACCTGTCTAATTCAGGAAACTGAGCCTATTTTCAAGGTTTCAAACGTAATTCATTAATAAAAAATTCTTAGTACCTAAGAGCCCTGGTTTTTAATGTGCATTTTATTAAAATGCCTAGCGATATATCGTAATAATACATGCCTAGTAATTAGTCATATGCCCTTGTTATTTAAAAATATTTTGATGCTTAAACATGTAAATTTCTAAGCCCAGTAAATATTTTAGTAGCAATTAATGACATATTTTTGATAATTACATTATTATGAAAAACAATCAAATAACATTATTTTATAGGACATTAATTGTAAATATTATTTACTCTTAATACGGTGGAGTAACAACAGTGTGTTGCTAGTGTTTTTTATTTTCAAGATATCATAAGAAAATATCCACAAAAAAAAAAAAACTGTACAGCAGCAATATACAACTTGAAACAAAAGTGTTTATCAGACAACCTATATATGCTGCTTAGTAAATACTTTTATATTATAATATACACAATACATGTATACAAGACAGTACATAATTTTTATTGTCTCTTAAAAGATTGCATCAGATTAGCAGATTAAAATACAGGAAATGGGCTAATTACAGGGAAAACTAAAACTAAAAAACGCATCATCATGATTCTCAATACGCAGCGCCCAAACTTTAGCCATCTTCAAGAACCTAACTACCTGTTCTTGTGCTTTCCTACCTGTTTGTATTGTTATTGTTTGCGAAATAATTGTATATATTATAAATATGTATATATTCATAGTTATATATACATTACTTGCACTTCTTATACCAAATAGCTACTATCTTTTTGCGTTTCTTCTCTTCTGCGTTTGTTTGTAGGCAAATTTTTGGAAATTCCCCATATTATATTGTAAAATGAAAACTGAAGACGGGAGTTTATTCCACAACTCAGATGTACGAGGTAGAAGGATACACGGACAGTAGTAGAGTGCCGTGCACTCAAAAAATAAAGGTGAACTCCAGCTTTATGGCGAGAAGTATGATGGTAAAAATGTGACGATGGCATTGGCATCCTATAATTCCCTGGAAAATTTCCCATTGTGCAGACGATAGAAAATTGTAAAAGAGGCAACATCTCAAACTCAAGGAATCCAAACCGTCCACTAGCATGGGATCGTCGATAACTCGTATCGCTCGACGCTGTATAGAGTTAAGTAGGCTGATATTGAGGTGTTTCTGTTCAAAGATGTGAACAGTATTCCATATGTGAGTGAATTTGGTTTTTGTAAAGTAGGAGTCTATGCTGTTTGAATAGAACAAAACAAAAAAGGTTTATTTATTTATTTGATCAACTGAATAAGTATTACAGTCTTCCAATACGCTTACCCAGAAAAGCATCAGTACTATAACAAATAATGTATAACTATAAATAAGAATAAATACTATATTGTATGTATATGTAGGATATGGCAGTGAATTTACAGGGCACAGAGGAATAACACCTTAGCCCTCAGGAATGGGAACGCATGGGGGTATCACGGGCGAAATATTATACTCTGTTATATACATGGTACTGTACATGTTTATAGGTGACGGTTACCACTTTCCATCATGTGGGCCGCCAGCTTGTTTGCCATTCTAAGTGGCATAAAAGTCTATATAATAAAAATAAATAAATAAATAATACAAACAACATTTTGTATTTTCATTAAAATATAAGATGTTATTTCCAGTGAACAAATGCTCAAAGGCTATATATGACGAAACTTCAGCAAGTTGGAGGCAAATATGTCTAGTTGTGGATATTTGTCCTTTTGAGTAGTTTCAACGCAAGAGAGAGCGAGTTTGCTTGGTCAACTCTGTTCTTCTAAACCAAACATCATATAAATATCGTCTACGTGCTCGCACGTAGTTACTGGACGCTCCTATAGATGACAGTACAGTTTGGTTATATTTTTCCCTACGTATTAATTATAGAAAAATACAGGCAGTTAGTTGCATTTTTTCAGAAAGAGGAGAGAGAAATCGAAGAGAGAGAATATACGAGTATTTTTAATTAAGATTTACCGCTTAATTGTAGCCTTAGATATTCGTCTCATTAATATTTTGTCTTAAATAGGCGATTTTAATTTCTGACATTTCCGCAAGAGTTCCGATTTTTCCATCTTAACTTCTAATTGACATATTTATTGAATTCTTCTTTCATAATTTGCAATTTTTTGACGAGTAGGATAAAAATGACCTATTATCTCTCTTTGTATAAAATATTCATAGCTGTTAATCCATTTAGATCTAGTGCGCAACAATTATCTTTATCAACTATGATGTGAGACTACTAACTACATTCGGCTTACTTAAGATTTAGTTTTGTAATAATCATAAGATAAGAAAAGGTTGTTTATGGTAGAATGTATATTGGGCGCTGTATATTAACAAAAATACCAAATAATGACAGTAAGTGCATATTTAGTGCTTACAGCACATTTCATGAGCGTAAAAAAGATCGTGATGCAGTGCTACCACACATAGGGGAAAAACCTTGTTTATTAATTGGAGTTGCAAACAGATATTTATAATATAAATAAAAATTTATATTTAGCTATTAAAAATAATAGTGATACAGTATAATAATTTTCTCTACTGTTAATGAGGTTTTAAATTTCAATTGGGTGACAGCTTACGAAGATTCGGTATAAATTACTAATGATATATAATTCACGTCCCGGGATATAAGCTTAGACACTGATAATAATGATATAAAGAAAATTTTAATAGAACATTTTTTAATTATGAATCTTTATTAAGCCATTACTATATCAAATCATCAAATGGGATGTCAGCTTGTTTGTTTCCCTTACTAAAATTATAATTGTGAAAGTTAGTTTCTTTGCTACCTTTTAGTGCCTTAACAGCTTATCCAATTATTTTGAAATTTGGTACATACATAATACATATATGAAGTATTGTGTAATAAAAGTATTGCTACCCGTACTTCTGTAATTTTGTAAGTCTATTATAACAAAAGAAACAAACAAATGCTTGTAAAGAATAGATTTTATTAAATATATATTTTTATTTCAGACTGAGAAGTACATAAAAATGTTAAAAAAAAAGATACAAAATCTACCAGGCTAAATTGCCATATCCATAATTACCATATCGCGCATATGCGAGTGGATTATAACCATATGAAGCAACAGCTAAAGGAGAAGCGAGAGTTTTGGTTGCAACTGGATTCGCAATAACGGGTGCGGCAACGACGGGAGCGGCTGCGACCGGGGCAACGCCATATCCGGCATATCCGCCAATACCGCCATAACCTAAGCTGCTATAGCCGAGACCGCCATAGCCGAGACCGCCATAGTTGAGACCGCCATAGCCGAGACCATTATATCCAAGAGCTCCATAGCCAATGTTTCCGGCATGAGCCAGACCAAACATAAAGAGGATGGAAACAATCTGAAAAGAAAATTATTGATATTAATAATTGTATATTTTATTTTCGGCAATTGTGATGCGATGTTAATTTGTCACTGTGCATTTTAAATACAACGAGCTTTTAATAATTACTAGCCTTTACTCGTGACTTCGTTCGCGTGATTGAGTTATATTAACTGATCTGGATAAAAAGTTACGTATGTTCCTTTCTAGCCCTCATAGTACGTGTATACTAAGTTTCATAGCGATCAGTTAAGCTGTTAAGGTGTTAAAAGGTAACAAACAAACTCACTTTCACGTTTATAATATAAGTAAGAACTATGAGTTTGCAGTAGTATTTTGCAAATAATTTTAATATATTTATTAGTTTATTGAAATTATTTTTACGTAAGATAATGTCTAAAAATAATAATACAAAATTTTTATAGAAAGATTTACATTGAAAACTGATGGAAATTTATTAGCTATATTTACATACTGGTGAAGTTGTAGTGACCATTATTAATATAATGCAAAACAAGTTATTTAATAAATCCATATATGGTATTTACCATATATGGGTACTATATACCAATTTACCATGTATGGTATTACCTTAGCAATCATTTTGCGAGTGGTTAAGTGTTAACTGTAGAATTAGTAGAAATGTACTGTATTTGTAATTGAATTGTTCATTTATATACCCTTACGAATGCGTATTTAGGAAATTGTACTAATTAATTGTCAAGGATCTACGCATTGTTAAAAAATTTGCACACATCTAATACGCAATAATTGCTTTTTTAATTTATTTTGTTAGAATTAATTAATGGTTATTATGTTTTTTTTTTATTATTATAACTCATACACTCCAATATATGGTATATTATTATCATCATATCAGTCATTAATTGTTCATTGTTGAACATACGCTTCCCCCATAAAAGGGAGATTTCTGGTAGTATGGAATGCTTGACAGACGGGTGGGAAACCGCTGTTAGACTTTGGTGATGTTTAAAATGGGACGCTTCTAGCTATCCTGACCATTAAGTTCTCCTAATCACCTCTTACGAGACCTTTTTTTTTTATGCAACTTAGAATGGCAAACAAGCTGACCCACCTGATGGAAAGTGGTAGCCGTCGCCTATAGACATGAGCAGTACCATGGACATAACAGAGTATACTGTTTCGCTCATGATACCCCCCATGCGTTGCCATTCCTGAGGACTCAGGTGTTATTCCTCCGTACCCAGTAAATTCACGCCATATCCCACCCTTCAAACCGAAACACAGCCATGCAAACACAACTGCTTCACGGTTGAAACACGAATGGAACAGAGGTACCCAAGCAATCGACTTTTGTACAAAGTCTCCCTCTGGTAAACCTACAAGAAAGAACGAGCTGTTCTTTGCTGGGGCCATACGGTGATATATGTATATACAAAACTAAAATATCATAATCGTGCTAGTTAAGCTTCTCTTATAGATTGCCATAAGGTACGGTGAAAACCACCTAAATCATGCATCTACATTGCGATCATCATTTTATCTAGTGGGGGGTAATTTTACCATCTGTTTGCCTATACGGGGTCATCACTTGAGTAATTTAAATTTGGTTAACAGATAGGTTATATCCTAATTTGATATACGAGTATAGGATACTCTATATATTAATTCATGAAGATAAAGTCACCGGTACTGCTGTTTTATTAAATTGTTGAATATACTATATTTATATTTATGCTAGCAAAGCCGCGGGATATAGCTAGTAATAAAATAGTTACGAAATGCTATGGTAAAAGCTGATAGACTATTTGGCAGGTACTGATCGTCGCCTGTTAATACAAATAATGTATCTTACGGTATACTGTGTTGCCTATAATCTTTTTATGTATTTGCATTGTGCCTTTTATAATAATTTATCTTCGAACTATAACGGATTGGCGGTAGAAACACGAACAATAAAGTACTCATATAGCCGTTGATTTTGTATAAAGGCTTCCTCTGGTTGATATTTCTAATATTTATTTTTTCTTATTTTTAATACCTTCTAAATATTATAATTCAAAATAAAAAAAAAATATTGTAACAGTTGGCACAGTATAATTAAATTTGAAAAAAAAGTAATAAATTAATAAAATTATCGGCCATTGCATTCTATAAATATTTCAAATTACAAAATGTAAACAAGTAATAAAATTTCTTCTCTAAAAGATATGTTCCTAGATATATATAACAATAATAAAATTAATTTATTGGTTGTATTTTTAGAAAAGTTTTTAATTTCAGTTGTCTTCACATGAAATTTATGAAATGTTTCCAAGCAATCCAAATAAATGCTTAAATATCGAATACATTTACTTGTATTTACTTGGTTCTTTAAAAAAGGTAATGTTTTATCTAGTAGAATCATAAGAATAAAAATTATTACTATTAAAACTATGAAAGAGAGTAACCTCTTGGCATTTTGATGGTTTAACTAATCATCTTAAATTTTGGAATACACTAGAGATGGAGAAACAGGGTATTTTTTATGCCGGGCATTCAATATATGCCGATTGAGTGGACAAAGTTGCGGGTAAAAACTAGTAATATGAAAAGCTAAATCGCTTAGGCCTTTATGTTTTGCTTGACTCACGGCAATAATTCCATGACTTTTTCATATGTTGTAAGTGTAACAGAATATTTATATTATACATATTTCAACATTGAAATAGGAATATTTTTTATGTCGCTTAATTTGTAATACATATATTTAATTTATATTTGAAATATATATTGTAATAGAGAAATTAATAAAAACTATTTTAGTATCATCTGATAACACGTGAACCATCGTGTACAAATGGCGTGAAAATATGGCTTTTTTATCCATTTATTTTAATCCTTTCTTTTATTATTTCTTTTTTTTTCGGGGTTATGAGTTCTTTATAGGCTTTACAACAAGTTTTCAAATCAATATCCCTAATTTTGAAAACATTTTAAATTAAATTGGTCGAGTTGGAGAAATTTGGATTGATACAAGCATGTATGGATTTTTATAAGGTCAAAATGGCCTAGTTTCTGAACCAGCTAATTAGAGTAAAAGATATTTATGAAAAGGTTAAATATCTATACACCTTGTTTATTCCAAATATTTATCACTAGCTGTATCCCGCGGCTCCACCTGTGTTAATCAGTACATAAAGTATTCTGTGTGTGAATCAGTACATAAAGTATTCTTTGTGTGCTGAAGGATGTATTTTTTTTTTATTTTTTTTTTATGCAACTAAGAATGGAAAACATGGCAAAAATGGCAAACAATGTAACCTAACTAACCTAACCTAGCGTATCAAATTTCATTCAAATCCGTTTAGTAGTGTAACAAACTCCTCTTCATTCATTCATCTTTACAAACTTTTGCATTTATTATATTAATAGGATTACTATAGTTCGATTTCGGTCATCGATCATTTTCGAAAAACCTGTTCAGTTTTATATTTTATATGTTTTTACCGTGAAGCTGTTGTATTTGCATGGCTATGTTTCGGTTTAAAGAATGATATATGGCAGTGAATTTACAGGGTACAGAGGAATAACATCTGTTTTCTTAGGAATAGCAATGCATGAGGGATACCCTCATAGGCAAAACAGTATACTCCGTTATGTCCTTGGTACTGCTCATGTCTATAGGCGACGGTTACCACTTTCTATCAGGTGGGCCTACAGCTTGTTTGCTATTTTAAGTTGCACAAAAAATATTCACAAATAGGTTTATACTTAAATTTATTCTCTGTTTAAGTAATTAAACTGTGTTATCTGCGTAAGCACCATTAGATATTATATAGTTTTTGTTCTAATAAAAATCCCGTGCCACGATATTTATTCATAACGACGAAACTTTTCAAGTGATTTTAAATTTAATTTTGTAATTAAACACATTACTATTAACATATGTTCCAACCTTATCGGAATAAAAATATTCTATCTCTTAAAACAATTTTTATTTTTTAAAGACAAATTACGGGCTGTAGGTGTCAGTACCTTAGTACATAGGTGGAAACAACGTTTGCCGGCTCATTTGGTGACAATATATATTTAGAGAAACGTGAATATATTTAATGATATGAGTTATATTTAATCATGTTTACTGTTCAGTCGATTTATGAAAATCAATATTGAATCAGAACGGATGTCAAATCACCCAAATTATAGAATAAAAGAACAAATACTTGTAATGAATAAATTTTATTAGATATTTTTATTTCATACAAAGAAAAAAAAAGTTTTTAAAGAAAAGATAAAGTTTACCATGCTAATCTGCCATATCCGTAATTACCATATCCAGCATATGCTAGTGGGTTATAACCATATGAAGCTACAGCTAAAGGAGAAGCGAGACTCTTGGTTGCAACTGGAGTCGCGATAACAGGAGCGGCAACGACAGGAGCGGCTGCGACCGGGGCAACGCCATATCCGGCATAACCGCCAATACCGCCATAACTTAAGCTGCTATAGCCGAGACTGCCATAGCCGAGACCACCATAGCTGAGACCGCCATAGCCGAGACCATTATATCCAAGAGATCCATAGCCAATGTTTCCGGCATGAGCCAGACCAAACAAGAAGAAGATAGTAACGATCTGAAAAAAAAAATATTGATATTAATAGTTGTATATTTTATTTCCTGTAATTGTGATGCGATGTTAATTTTTTACTGTGTATTTTAAATATAACGGGCTTTCATTAACTACTAGTCTTTACTCGCGACTTTGTTCGCGCGTATAAAAAGTAAATATCCCTCTCTAGCCCATAAAGTACGTAGTACCAAATTTCATAGCGATCGGTTAAGCTATTAAAATGCTATGAGTTAACATAAAATTATACTTTCACATTTATAGTATTAATAAGGATATAGTACTACTAATATTTTGCAATGAATTTAAACATATCTACTAAAATAATTTGTATGTAAAAATAATAATATTTTTTTTATAGGAAGGTTTACATTGAAAATGTATGGAAATTTATTATCTATATATAACTTTAAAAATTGTGATGACCTTTATAATTGTAATGCAAAACAAGTTATTTAATAAATCCGTATTTAGTAGTTATTTACCTTAGCAATCATTTTGCGGATAGGTATGTGTTTACTGCAGAATTTGTTTTAAAAAAATGTATTATAATCGTAATTGAATTGTTCATTTATATACCCTTACAAATGCGCATTCAGGAAATTGGAGTCATTAATTGTCAAGGATCTACGCATTGTTAAAAATTTCGCATACATCTAATACGCAATAATTTCAATTTATTTTGCCAGAACAATGTTCATTATGGTTTTAATTTATTATAACATATCATAGACTCCAATATATACCATCATCATCATATCAGCCGTTAACACACATATTCCCCCATATGAAGGATTTTTTTTATACAACTCAGAATGGCGAACAAGCTGACTGTTCTACTGTTTCGCCCATGATAACCCCCATGCGTTGCCATTTCTGAGGACTCGGGTGTTATTCCACTGTACCCTGTAAATTCACGGCTATATCCCACCCTTCAAACCGAAACACAGCCATGCAAACACAACTGCTTTACGGTAGAAACACGAATGGGGCAGAGGTACCCAAGCAATCGACTTTTGTACAAAGTCTCCTTCTTGTATGCTTTATAGGCGGCTTGTTAACTGCAGTTAGGCTTTGGTGATGTTTAAAGAAGGAAAAGTAATGGGTGGCCAGTTCTATACTGGGACTACACATATATACAAAACTATATTATTATAATTTTATTAATGAATTGTCCATTACGAGACATAGAGATACGGTCAAAGCCACCTATAATTTGCACTTGCATTGAGATCACCGTTTCAACTTGTGGTAGGTCATCTTACCATCTGTTTGCTTTTATGGGGTCGTCACTCGAGAAACTTCCTTCCACATCAATTAGCTGTTCCGTTGCAATTTCAGATTGTCTATTATAACATTTTTAAATAATATGAAACAAAGTCTTTGTCTGCATCCGTCTGTTTTCTACTCATATCTCTTAAATTATACTGTTCATGTCTATAGGCGACAGTTATTATTTTTTATCAGATGTGCTTGTATGCCGTTCTATATAGCGTTGCAAAAATATCTGTATGTATTAGGCATGTCTATACATCTCATTTATCCTAAATATTCAATACTGAGCTGTATCCTGGTACAGATGGCTCAGGACTGGTCTTTATGGCAGTCTATGGGCCTATGTTTTTTTTAATTGATGATAATGGAATGGTTACCCCACCCGCCCTAACGGTATACACAAACGGGGCACCAGTGTGGGGTGCAAGGTGAGAGTGAAAGGGCAGGTCAGTAGCTCATCGTGATGGATACACCAGGAATTGAACACGACGGTTTCCAGGAGAGACCACGTGGAGGTCGACCTTATGGGGCATATTGCTAGCAATGGGATTGACAGTCCGCATTACTAACAATCCCTTCCCCCCTGGAAGGCCTATGTTCAGCAGTGCACAGATAGTAGCTGAGATAATGTATCCCGTTGCACCGCTCGCGTAAGTTAGTACCTAAACTATCCTATGGTATACACGGATAGGATGATATACTCGTACACCTATCCGTGTATCAATTTTTATTCAAATCCTTTCAATAATTTATGCATGAAAGAGTAACAAACATCCATCCATCCATTCATCCATATATCATTGAAAACTTTCGCATTTATTGTATTTTTTTAATAAGTGAAGATGGAACGGTAACCCCGTCTGAGCTATTGGTATACGCTGGTGGGGTACCAGTGTAGGGTGACAGGTGAGAATGAAGGCAGGTCAGTTGGCCTATAGTGACCAATTGAACAAAAATTAACCACTATGGTTTCCAGGGAGAATCGCGTGGAGGTCGACCTGGTAGGGTGTATTACTAGTAATGGGGCTGTTAAATCTCATTACTAACAATCCCTTCCCCCGTATTTATTGTATTAATAGAATGTTTTAAATACTTTTCAAAACCCTGTTCAGGTTTTTATACACAAGTATAAGTAATTAAACTATGTATATCACCTGCATAGGTATCATTATATATTACTTTTTATAATGAACATATATAAATAATTAAATAATATGATATATCACTACATAGTATAAAACAAAGTCGCTCCCTGTCTGTCTGTTCCTATGTATGCTTAGATCTTTAAAACTTCACAACGGATTTTGATAAGGTTTTTTTAATAGATAGAGTGATTTAAGAGGAAGGTTTATATGTATAATACATGCATAATATAGTAGAGAAACACTGATCAATTTAGAGGTTGTGTAATGTGTGATGTAATATGTACCTGTGCGAAGCCGGGGCAGGTCGCTAGTCTATTATATAAAAATCCTATCTCACGATGTTTCAACAACAACGATCAACCGATTTTAATGAAATTTTGTAAATATTAAACATTTAGTATCGTATGCTTAACAACGTTCAACCGATTTTAATGAATTTTTTTAAATATTAAACATTTAGTATTGTATGCCTTATTAGGATAAAAAAATATCAATTTATTATAGAAATGAAAATATTTTTATTTGTATAAGAAAAATTGGACTCGATAGGTGTCGGTACGTCGGTAGGAGGAAAAACAAATTTATCCAGCCCAGCCCAGTTAGTAACAGTATATATTTAGAGAAACATAAATAAATTTAATGATATGAGTTATATTTAATCATGTTTACTGTTCAGTCGATTTATGAATTTTGATACGTTATTTAATCGGGACGGACGTCAAATCACCCATACCTAGTCCCATTAATTATGATCACTACAGTAAACAAAAGTTCAAATGATTAATGTCAACAACAAGTCATGTATGTTTGGAGATTGTAAATATATCGATAAATCAGCATGACTGACTATAAAATGTCAATTTTTTGTAACTATACTAGATGTATTCTATAACTTTGCTCACATGATGAATTATATATAATTAGATTTGGATATAGTCTACCCGTATACTAAATTTCATTTAAATCTGTTTAGCTTTTTAAGTGTGATTCAATTGTAACAAAAAATCAAATATATTTATAAACTTTCATATTTATAATATAATTAGGTAATCCAACTATTTTATAAATTTCATAGAAATTAAATTATCAAATATGATAGACAGATAAATAACGATACATGTACGTGAAATTTCAATTATAAAATGACGAAAAATTCATTTTATATTTAATTTTTATACAAAAGAGTCTTTTAGAAATATTTATTAATACATATTAAAAACCTTATATAATATTAAAAATGAAATATTTATTAATACAAATTAAATAAATCCGTGTGGGTTACGTAAAATGAAAAAAATTAAAGTATAAATCATTCAAAAATCATTTATTAAATGTGTATGTATCTTTAGACGGATGTTGAAATAAATATCTGTTTTTTTAAACAAAATTACTATTTACAGAAAAAAAAATCATGGCGTTCACCAGGCGTTGAGACCATAACTTCCAATTGTGCTAGCGCCATATCCGTAAGATGGAACGGCGAGAGGAGTAGCGATGCTCCTGGTTAACAGAGGAGCAGAGACGACAGGAGCTGCAATGGTCCTGGTCAGAAGAGGAGCAGAGACAACTGGAGTGGCGATGGATCTGACTAAGGGGGTAGATTGGATGGGTACAGAAGAGATGGCGGGGGCAGCGGCGATAGCGACTGGAGCGCTGATCGCTGGGCTAACTCCGATTCCACCAATGGTGCTGATACCACCAAGTCCGCTATAACCCAGTGTTCCAACACCACTGTAGCCAAGACTAGAGCCAATAAGGCCTGCTTTGGCTAGACCGAGGAAGCAAAGGACTGCAACAATCTGAAAATAATAAAAATGTATTATTATTTATATATAAATATAAATCAAAAAGTAACAGATGCTTCCGTGTTACAAATGAGTACAACAACTATTATAATTAGGTAATTATTACAATAAATAAATAAATATTTTATTATAAATAACCAAAGACATTAATGTCTAGAAAAAAATATTAAGTCAAAAAATATGGAGCAAACTCAAAAATGTATGTGTAATGTCTATTCGTAAATGGGTTTTCACTAATATTTTTACTTAAGTTTTTAAAACAAGGTACTTATGTATTTAAATTATTATATTATTTTTGTTTATTTTTATTTTATGACTATTTACCTTTGCGATCATATTGATAGTTTTGAGGTATATTTCTACGAGTAGAATGATTTTCTAAGCAAAAAAATCTGCTTATATACATACCTACTATGTCTATATTACATGCAAATCTTCGAAATTGACCTCGTCATTGCCAAGGTTTTGAAATTTATTTAGTAAAATTAAAATAAATCTTACACAATCCAGTTTAAATTTGATATTTTATTTTAAATATCGTGCTAAATATATTTTAATTATGAGCCATTGCACTTTAAATAGGAGGCCAAATACCAAACATAACGGAAGTGTTCATTTCCTCTTGTGTGTGATAGGCGTTTATTTATATATAATTTTATGAAATTTTCAAAATGGTATCATTTCATATAGCTATGTGATTGGTTTGTCCTTTTATTTGCAATTTGTGTGTGACCTAATTGTAATTCTTATACGAAAACTATCGAAAAACATTAAATTAATATAATAATAAGAGCAGAAATATTATAGTTATTATTTTATTAATTATATCTAATTTTGTATAAAAATGTGTTTAATTTAATCCCCTATCATATCTAAATGAATAATTATTTGTTATTTGGATGCAGAAATTGAATTTACTTTATTACGGAAAGATCAATAAAAATACCAATCACTACGACCGTTCTCAATAAAAGCAAAATTCCTGTAGGATGTAATACGTAACTTTTTTTCAGTGCCATGAAAATTTACTACATGCCGGCTTATTATGCTATACTTAAAGATAATTATGCTTTATTATGCCAATTTTAACTGACTTCAAAAAGAAGAACGATTTCAATTCAGTTGTACATTTTTATGTTTGTTACCTCATAACTCGTCCGTTCTAAATTGATTTCAAGTTTTTTTAACTGAAAGGATATATTTATAGATTGGGTCCATAGAAATTTTATTAAAATCGGTTCAATAGAATCAAGTTTTTGAATCAAAATAACTGGTTTTATTATAATTGAAGTCAGTTCTTTTTATGGGGCACAATCTTTA